GTGTCTCCTTTCGTTTTGCATCTTCTCCCCAGCCTCAAAGCTTTTGCAAGCCAGGTCGTTGCTAGTGCTATGGCTGAGTGCACTGTGCGTCTTCGCGTCTTCACGCACCACGTGTTTCTGGTGGTTGTGTTAGGCGTTTGTTGCTCTTTCTTTCGCATCTCCTCTCCCTCGAAGCAATGGCCACGAAGGCTCGGCGAATTGCATCGCTGCTTTGCTGCGTGGGGCTGCGTCGATGTAAGGAACATCACAACCACCAGCCACAGCAGCATCCGAACTTGCACAAGCGAGGGAGACACCACACTGGATCCCATGACATCATCGCTTTCGCGACGATCGAGGCTGTCACGTGGGCGTGTTTCGCAGGTTGTGGGAGGGGGGCCGCCGAGTCTGCCGCCTGTTGCTGGCATTGACCTAGCGGTCGCTGCCTTGCGCTTCCTGAATTTCATGCATTTGTGTTTGCCTGCCTCCTTTTGTCCACAGACCTGGGCCCATGCGCAAGCCAAACAGTTGAATCTGAGGCTTTGCGAGACTCGGGAACACAAACAACTCCTCAAAATGCGATTGTCGCGCGCCTGCGCGCTGGGGCTGGGCTCCTGCTGAACAGTCTGGGCGTAAGAGGCGCCCTGGGCCTTCACCTTGGCACACGTAAGCGTCCAAGTGTACTGTCCTCGCGATGTCGCCTGCCCTCTGTAGCATGTCAACGTCAGAAAGCGTCGACGGGCCCACGTCCAGAGAGGGAGGCGACGCCAAGAGCTGCAGGGGGACACCCACGTGGGGGGACACCCACATGGTCAGGCTGCCAGTGCCAGCAGCAACGTCATGTTCTCGGGCACGCTGCTCCAGCCTCCGCAGGCGCGCGCACGTCTTCGCTGCACTCACCAGAGCATGATGTCAAGACGTCACCGCAAAGCGCAGTCGCCCCATCCCCCACCAACAGCTCGCGCAGGAAGCCGTCAGCAGCCTTGGGCCGGCGTTGTGCCAGAACGGGGAGGCCGCCCACGCGCCCCAATATGCTCGCTCCGCACACAGCAAGCGCGGCCAAACGCAACTCCGGGAGCATGACGTTGCCACCAGCACCAGGCCCCTGCGCGCTTCCTCTCTGGATATGGGCCAGTCGGCACTTTCTGATGCTGACATGCCACAAGCCCAGCCTGCGCACGTCATCCGACTCCGAGCCCGGAGCCGTGATGCAGACGCGCCGCCAGAGCGCGTGCAGCCCAGTGCCAGCCGCTCTGCTTCCCGATGATGCCTGGCTGCGAGCCGTCCCGCCGCGCGGAGCGGCGTGGCTCTGTGTGCCCCTGTTGCACACGGCCGCTGGCTGCTTGTCTCCTGACGTGGTCGCCCAGTGGAGGGCCGAGGGCCGACAGCCGGCTTCCTCGTGGTGGGAAACGATGGAAAACGAACAGTTCGACATGAACTTCGGCCCCCACTCGCTCCGCCGCTCTCGAGCTTGCGCGGAAGCGGACCGCCGCGTTGCTCGCTCTCTGCAGGGGGTTCGGCGGCCTGTGACCTCGTCCTCGCGCCAGACCTCGTCGACAGCGTGCCTCCTTTGCCGACGACTCAGCTGGGCTCGCCCTGGGCGGAGCGGGGCGCCAGCACGGCAACGACAGCGGCGTGACGTCAAGGTGAGAAGCGAGCGCCAGGTCAAGCGCAGGGATTTGTCCCGGGCTCGCTAGACGTGCGCGGCTGCCACTCTGGTGCCAGGCAACGATGGATGCTACCCTTGTGAGCCCTGTTCGGAGGCCGACTGGGAGCCCGGCCTGCCACAGTTTCCCGGCCTCACCTGGCGCAGCTCCGGTTTGCGCGCTTCTTTGCGGCGCCGGGCGCCAGTAATCCTCGCTTGCAGCGTGCGGGCGAGGCTGTGCTGCGACGCCGCCATAAAGGACACGGTCCGGGCGGCGCCTGTCCCATGGCACGATGTCGGGCTCAGTGGAAATGGCTAGCCACTGCTGGAGGACGACGAGGGCTTTTTTCGTCCTACTTTCATAGCGGCGGCGGTCAAGAAGCCAGACCATCGGTGGACCAAGGCAGCTTGGTAGGCCAGGCGTCTGGCCTTGGCCCAGGCAAGCTGCCATAGGAAGTCGGCAGTTTTGGGGCTCCATCGCCCACCGGCCTCAACACCAAGAACGGCCAAGCGACACCAGGAAAACCGACACCGAGTATCACGCGACGGGCCACGGCGCGGCTTTTGGTTTGTGTTTCCCCTCGTTGCGACCACGTCCTTCGCATGCTGCCCCCTTTGCCTGGCCTTGCGGGCCCGCCTTTCGCAGCTGCCCTCCCATGAGGGCGGCCTCGGCTTGCGCAGTGCCGTGTCCCCCTCCCCCGCGGCGTATTGGGGTTCCTGGGCTGATTATGCTGCCAGCCTTACACAACCAATTGCCCGACTTGGCGGCCGCCATCTTGCGTTTGCTGCAGAAGCCCGCTGCACGGATTTTGCGCGAGGCTGGAGCACGCGTCGCCACCAACACCCCTGCGCGCGACCTGAATGCCCTTGTCGACCGCCCGGATGACAGACGCATCGACGTCACAGCTACTGGCTGGCCTGTGTGGAACGAGGCCCAGCTCGCTGTTGACACGACCGTCGTTTCGCCCCTCACGCGCGATGCCGTTCCGCGCTGCAACCAGGCACGCTGGAGGTCGGGGATGGCGCGGCTGGCTTGCAAAAAGGAGTCCTGCTTTGGCACTGAGTTGGTGGGTGCAACTGGGGCGCAACATACTCTGGGTCGCCCAGCGGCGAGTTGGGCTGCCGGAAGGGAGGGGTCGCCAAGCCACACTGGGTCGCTGCCGCTGCCTAATGCCCGAATGTGAGGAGGCCTTTTGGCCAGAAGCATTCCAAACACGCGTTTTACCGCGCCCGTGCTTCAAGGGCAAAAACAGGCGCCAGCGACGGCGCAATGCGACATGCATGTGCGCGGGAGGAAACGTCGCCGGATCAGTGGGGACAGCGGCCAGCCACGCCCCAGCGTCCAGGCCCGACTGCGAGCGGAAGCTCGGCTTCATGTGTGGCAAAAGCTCCGACTTACGAAAACGGGTGGACGCAGGAAGTTGCCAGCCACGAGGCCAATCCAGGTTCGCCGCCGTCAGCTGCCGAAGCGGGCGGCGCTGCTTGTGCAACGAGTTTCTTCCATTCCGGAGCAGCTTGGCAAGGCGCGGCGGCCCCATGATCCACAAGAAGTTCCCGCACACATCAGGGCGACCAAGGGCCTCGGGCCAGGTGCGGGACTGCTCTCGACATGTTGGGCGACCATGCCGCGGCGCCGTGCTCCCTTGCTCGAAGAAGGCTGGGCGCGCCCACGTTGCTGCGGAGGGAGAGCCTGAGTTCGCCAACGTCCTTGGGCTGGCCGGCACCTGGCCCAGCCCTTTGCCTTTGCGCCCGCAGGTCCCTCCCACCCCGGCTGCGCGGAAAAAAACGACGGCAACAGCGGCAGAGGGTGCAGCTGCGGAGGGCATGGGCGGTGCCTTCGGGTACCTGGAAAGCCTGGCCGAGCCCTTGAGCCCACGGCAGTCGGGGTTGCTGGGACGTTTGCTGCAACGGCTGGAGTTGGAGCAGCAGCGACGGTGGGTCTCGCCGTGGGGCTTGCAGGCAGCGCGGCCTATGGTCTCGCTCGGGGCGGTGCTCGAGAGCGCGGTCTTCCGGCCTCAGCAGGGCAGCAAGGACGCAGCGGTGCAGCACGTTCGGTCCGCCAACGGCATGTGTTCAGCTTGTAGTCCAGTCTTTGCATCAGCTCATCTTGGGACACGCTTCTTATCTTTACAGCGAAGAAGCGTCTAGGCGGCCTCGATGTCCCGGGCCAACTAGTGGAAGCTGGGCGGCGGCAGGCGTTTCTGACGAGATTCCTGGGAAATGCGAGAGCTCGGCCGGGAGCTCGGCTGCGACTGGGGGAAAAGTCACGGGCCCGCAAGCAGTCCTGCCGGCGCGGCAGGTTTTTTTTTTTTTTTTTTTTTTTTTTTTTTGCGGGCAGTGAGCAGAGGCTGCAGGCGCTTTGCGGCGACTGCCACAGCGAGAAAACGCTGCGGGAGAGGTGTGGCGCAAAAAAAAGGTGTGATCCTTAGGCCGCCCGTTTTTTTGAGGGCGTGCGAACAAGGCGACATGGTGGCTCTTCCTGAGGATGATAACTCTAAGTGCGTCTGCGCTTTCGATGTTCCAGATCGGACGATCCAGAGGAGAGCGTCGCCCTTGTTCCGGACAACGAGGTTCCAACGGTCTGTCTCCTCATCCCTGCTCCTTGGCTTGGCGATGCCGCTCCTTTGGTGGACCACGGTCGTTTGCCGCTTGGTGCATCACGCAGTTGTGTGCACCAACCACAGCTGTAAAGGCAAGAGGACCTTTGCGAGGACTTGCCAGTATTCGTTTCAATCAATAGGAAATTCTTTTACCAATACTACGTTCAATGCTGCCCGCATAGCAGTGGCGCTGGTAGTCTTTCCTGGCATGGCCCTTCAGCGTACTGTGGTGTCCAACAAGGTGGGCGGCGCCTGGCTCTCGCCCGCGTGGCCTGCTCAGGATGTGGGGTCGGACCTTTCCAGGGAGAGTTAACACATCTTCCCTTTCATGCCCGTGGGTGCATGAAGGACTTGTTTTACTGTGAACAAACATATTTAGCGATATCATCACCGCTTGGCAACGTGTGCGCGCGGGATTTTATCAATCGGCGCGAGTCCACAACAGGCGTGGGCCGCCGTGATTTGGTACGAACTCGGAGATGTTGTTTGGCGAGGGTATTTTCGCCGGCCAAAAGGGTACCATTGCCCTCGCTGTGATTTTGTTGCCGCGGCCCTGCGTGCAGCACTGGCTGCATACTCGTGTTGCTTTCACTAGGGCTTCTCGGAGTTTTTTTTTTGGCCGTGGTGCAGCGGAAAAAGTCGAAAAACGACAGCCACATGTTGTTGCGTTTTCGGCCAACCAAGCCATGTTTGGAATAATTAGCTTTCAACATTGGATGCTTTCGGCTCCTAGCCGGACATTGTAGCTGGCACCGCCCTCGTCGAGGGCGGATGCCATGGCATGGCGCTTCCCCGTGGGAGCCTCGGAGTTTCTGGTGGAATAGAAGAGCACAAAGTGGCGACACTTGTTCCCAGTTGCGCTACGGCCGCGGTGTCCATCACGAAGGTTGTTGCAAACCATCTAATAGCCCAGTAGAGTATTGCACTTAAAAACACCCGGAAGCAAGCATTGCAAATTTCAAGGTTCCCCGTTCCCTGCGTGCAACCCCCGAAGTGGCTTGTACCAGCTCTGAGCCGTGCGTCCGCCACGGGTTTGTTCGTGTTCCAGCATGAATCAACCAACCTGGGACTGCTCTATCCGAGGTCAGTGCCTGGTTGGTTCTGATAGGCGGGGCAGTTCGTTGGAAACAATGCTCGGTTTTGATGGTAAAGTGGGGGAAGCATTTAAGAAGCCCGGACGTTCTCCCTTCCAACAGCAGTGGTTCAGACCCACGTCAATAGTTTCTCAAACATGATTGAAAACCATGGCAATATGCAGCCTGTTTGTTTCACATTCATTGCGATTGCCAAGCCAGCAGGTATGTTGAAATACAAAACGGGTCAGGCTACTCAAACGAAGGTTGCATTTCTTCTGGGTCGGGAAGGGCCAAGAGCCAGGCCAGTTGCTCGCATCGCATGGCGTAGTCCTTCAAGAGGCTCGGGCTGAAAGGCAAATCCATCCCCGTTGCTGGCATGTTTCGCGCCTGCAAAGCACATGATTCAGGCAGCCTTGCGTGGCAACCCGGTCAAGAAGGTCATTGAGATGCTGGAAACTATGCAGCGGAAGGTTGGAAATTGCACTGTTTGATCCGTTTCTATTTTCGAGTCTTCTTTTTTGCTGTCTGTGAAGCTTGTACCGCCCCCTGTTCTGAAATCAGTTGCGATTGTATGTCACCATCATTGCAGGTGAAGAGCGAGGCAGCTGAGAAAGAGAAGGCATTCAACAAGTGCGGCACGGGTTTTGCAAAGTCAGATTTCATGTCATGGTCACCGCGAGGTACATCTGCTACTGCAAGTCGACAACTACAACTCTGAACTCCCAACTGGCACAGGCTGCGAGGGAGGAACATTGTTGGGCAGGGACTGCTTGACAGCTTGAGTGCTTGATTGATTGAGCCTCTTGCTGCTTGACTGCTTGGCTGCTGGCTTGCTGCTCTGGCAACTACCCCGATTTGGCAACTCTTGCCGTTCGCTTTGTGTAGAGGCCGAGCAAGCATTGCCGCAGCTTCAATCCCGCGTGCAAGAGGCTCCGCCATCGATCCATTCATTTCGCAGATGTCCTCGGCATGTCTTTTTTTTTTTGAGAAGTTGAGCTCACTCTCAAGTCAAGCCTTACAAATGAATGAGCGCGTGTTCTTTTTGTCTAGGATATGGTTGAACTGTTGGGATTTTGGATGTGCAGCTGTTCGTCTTTGGTCTTTCCCAGGCTCCTGCACTTCGGGCGTGCTCAAACAATGACAGGTTATATTCTTGACAAATGGCCAGAGTGGATGGAGAAGCGTACGTCCCTGCCGTTGTGTCCATTCGTTTGACTTGGGGCAGGAGCCGAGGCGGCCATTTCAGCTGGGGAGTTGAAACTTTGCCGCTTTTGTTTGTTTAATCCCTGTCTTCTTGCAACAGGTCATCCTGGATTTCTCAAAAGGGGGGGGGGTCAATTTCGATCGCCCCTTGGCATTTGCAGGTTGCAGCGCTGCAGGGCTCCCTAGAGTCAGAGCTGGCACAGCACAAGAAGGCCGACACCAAGGGGTTCGTTGCTTTCTGCCACATGCGAGTTTCCGGATTTCCCCCAGCCAAGAATATATTTTTTGGGCGGGGTCGAAGTCTGGCCATAGGCAAAAGTCTGGGAGCTTTGGAAACGCCGACGAGGTGTTTGGAGTGGCCCCCCCACCCCCCACCCGGCCCCCCAGCCCCCGCCGCCGGCAGATCGCGGTGTCAGGATGGCGTGGAGGCGCAGAAGGCCATTGCCAGCGCCTCCGAGCTGCGGCAGAAGGACTGAACGAGGGTGGGGTCAGTCCGTTGGTCGATTTGGTTGACACCTTTGGCGGTTCGCCGTTAGTTTGGGTGGTTTTAAAGACAACCTTTTGGTGTTCAAGCTAGGTGAGTTTAATGTGGTTTGGACAATGCGGTATGCAAGCAGGTTTGAACACGGCCATGGCGGTGTGCCCGGTGGTTTGGTATATATACTCGCTTAAGTCTGCTTGCAGGTCAGATTGAAGGCCAACAACTAAACCGGTTATGCGCGCAACAGGCTCTTAGTCTTGATGCATCTCCATGTTGTTTGCATACGTACCGTTGATTGAGCCGTCCTGTTTGCAGGAGGCGCAAGCTTTTCTGAAGGACTGGGGAGTGCGCGTGAGCTGCCTGAGTTGGTGGCCGCTGCAGCCCGGAATCGATACTGATGTTTTGGAGAGTTTTCCGTACTTGCATACCTTGAATGGACATAGGCACAGGCAAAAACAGTGGTCAACACAAGGTTATATGGTGTAAGTCGGACGCTTGAAAGCGGAACTCTCAGGGGACGACATGTTTATTTGGATGATCTTTGCCACACGAGGACTCAGAAAGCCAGAAGGAGTCAGTAGACTCAGTCGCAGCAGCCTGGTGCTTGGTTGCCTTTTGGAAGTTTCATGTGTGCATGGTGAGCAGCCCCCAGACAGGAGTGCCCAGCTGTGCACAGTTGTCATGGTAGATCCCATGTTTCTAGTTGTCCGGTCCTGAAGGGACTTCAGCAGGATGGCTTCGTTCAGTAAAGAACTCGGGGTTCAAGACTGTCCACAGGGTCCTACTTGCAAGTTGTTATGCCACGGAACCCAGGCAAGTCCTCTGCATGAGGCGATAAGGGCTCTGGAGCAGGGGCAGGCAGAGTCCTTCCTGCAGACCGGCAGCGCTGCTGTGCTTAGGAGGCAGTGCTTCATGGCGACCGTGTCTTCCTTGTGCTCAACTCAAGTCCAATCCGGGGTTGTGCTGTTCAGGCTGCCGTACAGGGAGGGAAGTTAATGGCACCGCCATAAAGTTGATGCCCCTGTGTGCCAGCCTGTCCGAAAACAAAATGCATCGACTTCCCGGATACGGCCAAATACGACCACCGGCCAGAAAAAAAAGAAATACGGGAAAGTCGATCCAAATCAGGTTCCGTCCGACAAAAATGGCCATACAGCTTTCGAGGTAGCCCCACAACGAGTTACCATTTTGTGAAGCGATTGCTGCGATTTGTTGGACGGCTGGATGGACTATCAGTTGCAGCTTCAGTTCTGGCAAATCTTGGGAAAAGAGCTCGAGCACCGGCAGGTTATCCTTGTCGGCAGACAGCGCCTCAGAGCTGAGCAGAAAGTTCTCGTGCAAATCGCGCTGCAAAGGACATGACAACCCGGGATCGAGACCTTTTGTCTTCCTTCCTGGCGACGGATTCCAGCTACGCGCTTAGCGGTTGACTGAATACTTTGCACCTGCGACATCGCCCATGTAACGCAGCTTTGCTGGCACTGTTGCCCCTGTCTCTGTTTAGTCTTGGAAGGCAACGAAATGGGCTGCCGCTTCCTAGCATTTGTCCTGTTGAATGAGGCCAACCTAGTGGAAGCCAAATTCTCGGCATGCTCAAGCAGATGAAAGAGGCAAGCTGGAGATTTAGCTACTTGTACCTTCAGTGCGGGACCTTCTTGGCTGTTCTTTCCGATGGTGTCCATCACTAGCGGGCGGCGGTTCCCCCTATCAATCTGCCGAGATGCAGCTTTCAACAAAAAATGACCCTACGCCCTTGCCCTAACTAAGCACTAATACTACATACCTGCCTGCCTACCTACTTACCTACCCACTTGCCTACCTGCAAGATATAGAATCCCCTACCGAAAAAAAAAAAAAAAAAAAAAAAAAAAAAAAAAAAAAAAAAAAAAAAACAAGTACGACACGATTGGCCAGGAAATGAGCAGCAGCTTGAAGGAGATGATGGGTGCAGAGCAGCAGCGCATAGTGGAGCTGCTTGGCTTCGGAGTTGCCTCAGTGGGGTCGGAGTCGGGTGCTGTTTTCAGATTCCCTTTTCCTTCCTTCATTTTGATGGCTGTTCTGATCTGCTGTCGTGAGGGGGATGACTAGGGCCACATTCAACGAACGGCACAACGGGAGTAGTTCTTATAGCTACAAGCAAGCAAAGAACTGAACATCCAGATGGACAGATAAATAAGCACATGAGTAAGTCAATAGCAAGCAAGCAAGCCAGCCAGCCAGCCAGCCAGCCAGCGAGTGAGCGAGCGAGCAAGCAAGCAAGCAAGCAAGCAACCAGCAGGGCAGACAGGCAGGCAAGCAAGAGCAGGCAGGCAAGCAGGCAGGAAGGCAAGATAGAGGGATGGAGGGCTGGCTCGGGATTTATGGATGAATGGATGGATGAAAGGATGGATGAATGGATGGATGGATGGATGGATGGATGAAAGGATGGATTGGATGGATGGATGGATGGATGGATGGGAACAAGCAACTAACCAACCAACCGACTGACCAGAAGCAGCTAGCCAGCCAACCATCCAGCAAACCAAACAACTACACAACCAAACAACCAACCAACCAACCAACCAACCAAACAAACAAACAAACAAACGAACGAACGAACGAACGAACAAGCAAACAAACAAACAAGCGAACAACGTAGCAAGCAAGCAAGCAAGCAAGCAAGCAAGCAAGCAAGCAAGCAAGCAAGCAAGCAAGCAAGCAAGCAAGCAAGCAAGCAAGCAAGCAAGCAAGCAAGCAAGCAAGCAAGCAAGCAAGCAAGCAGGCAGGCAGGCAGGCAGGCAGGCAGGCAGGCAGGCAGGCAGCGAGCAGCGAGCCAGCGAGCCAGCGAGCCAGCGAGCCAGCGAGCCAGCGAGCAGCGAGCAGCCAGCGAGCCAGCCAGCGAGCCAGCCAGCGAGCCAGCGAGCCAGCGAGCCAGCGAGCCAGCGAGCCAGCGAGCCAGCGAGCCAGCGAGCCAGCCAGCAAGCAAGCGAGCCAGCAAGCAAGCAAGCAAGCAAGCAAGCCAAGCAAGCAAGCAAGCAAGCAAGCAAGCAATCAAGCAAGCAAGCAAGCAAGCAAGCAAAGCAAAGCAAAGCAAGCAGCAAGCAAGCAAGCAGCAAGCAGCAAGCAAAGCAAAGCAAGCAGCAAAGCAAGCAGCAAGCAGCAAGCAGCAAGCAAGCAAGCAAGCAAGCAAGCAAGCAAGCAAGCAAGCAAGCAAGCAAGCAAGCAAGCAAGCAAGCAAGCAAGCAAGCAAGCAAGCAAGCAAGCAAGCAAGCAAGCAAGCAAGCAAGCAAGCAAGCAAGCAAGCAAGCAAGCAAAACAAACACACAAGTTCACAAACACACAAACACACAAACACTTGAACAGACATAATCAGACAAACTCTTGAACACACAAACGCACAAACACACACAACCACAGAAACTCTTGAACACAAAAACACGCAAACACAAGCACACAAAGAAACCCAGAGAGACCAACACAGGCAAACACAAACAAATAAGCGAACAAGCAAGCAAGCAAGCAAGCAAGCAAGCAATCAATCGAGCAAGCAAGCAAGCAAGCAAGCAAGCAAGCAAGCAAGCAAGCAAGCAAGCAAGCAAGCAAGCAAGCAAGCAAGCAAGCAAGCAAGCAAGCAAGCAAGCAAGCAAGCAAGCAAGCAAGCAAGCAAGCAAGCAAGCAAGCACACAAACAAGCCAACAAACAGTCAGACACACAAACCAAGCAACTAACTAGCCAAGTATTTGACAAGTAATATGCCTGAAGACCTTTGGCTCTGACCTTCGAGGCATCAGAGCCTGATGGAGGCCAAGCAGAAGCAGCAGCAGGTAGCCATGAAGGCAATGGAAGAGAAGCCCCGGCCTGAGTCCGCGCTTCTTGTTTGCTTGTTTCTGTTTGCTTGTTTCTGATTGTTTACTTGCCTGCCTGCCTGCCTGCCTGCCTGCCTGCCTGCCTGCCTGCTTGTTCCGTCGGCACTCTCGGTTGGCTGAGTGTCTCGGGATAGGGAAGGCTGTTGAAACTCAGGATGGGCTTTGGTTACAACATGCCAGTCGTGTTTGGTACAGGTGGCCTGGCCCCTTTCCTGAGTTGGTTTTGGTGGGTTGGCCGCGCTGATGGAGAGGGTGGATTTGAGCTGGGTTTGGTTCGGTTTTCCTCGGGTTCGGTTTGGTTCGGGTCTTCTCCCTTCTCGAGGATGCTGCGGCTCGGGGAGCTGAAGGTGGAGACACAGGTGCTGAAGGGCGACCTCAAGGAGCTGTCCCGATCTCGTTGCGCTCTCTTGGAGGGGGGGTAGCGTATGGGAGGTGAATAATGGCAGCATCCAAGTAGGCCTGGTGAAAAGCAGGCTGGTGGGCTGGCCATCTGGGAATCGGTGCCATCCAAAGCAAGATGTTTCACTGGTTTGCTGCATCATTGCTCAGAAGGGCGCAGTTCAACTCTCCAGAATTCTTCTTGCCCACGACCTTGAGCCACATTTTCCCCGCTCAGGACCAGACAGAAGGGCAGAAGGACTTCCGACTCCGCGTGCCCTGCATTGCCAGGAATCTTTCTTCCGTTACAATAACGGCCTTCCAGATTTGAGTGTGTCCTAGATTTTGGGATCCTTCTTTGGAAAGTGTTGCAAGGGATGCCAAAGGGAAACCTGCCCTTTTGAGGCATCCGCAACTTTGAAAACACCCTCTTGCAGGAGAACCAGCAGTTTGCCAGCGACCTAGACAAGACTTGCAGCGACAAGCAGCAGGTGGGGCCTGCAGCATAGCAAGTGAGGGTGCCGGCCATGCACAAAAACCATGCAAACCCAAAGCCTTGACACGCGATTGAAACTCGGAGCAGCACGCTGCCTTCAACGCCTCTGGTACAATTGCAGCTGATTCGGGGTTTGGTTCCGAAATGGCCGAGCCAATGAGCATGCGAGCTATTCCACCTAGCGACTTTGTGTGCCGAATCATCTGTAAACTTTGCGACTCGCGAGAATCCACAATCAAAGGAAGGCAATTTGCAGACTGTGGGCTTTGAGTGTGGAGTTCCATGGATGTACAGAAAAAGGCTTGAGCCAAGGCATCATGGTCGCAGTGGGGCGCGGGTCGGTATACCAGCATTGGAAGGGCCCTGTCAAAAGAAGCAATGAGCATGACCTTCTTACTGGGAGCACATGTCTTTACGGGTATCTGTTGTTTTTTGGTTAATCGAACGCCACCTGTTTTCGGGACAGAACAGGAGCGCAGTGACTCGCCAGGCCTGGAGCAGATACCAGGCCTCTGAGGCTGAAGAGCTTCGGGCCCTCAGCGAGACGGCGGGAAACTCGGCTTCGCTTGGGCGCGGGTTCCGCTGAAGTCGCGTGTGAATTGGCAAAGTTGGAAGACTTCTGTTGAAATTGGGAAGGGCTTCTCTGTTGAGGGCTGTTAGCCGGTTGCAGCCAGCTTTTTTGCCGCTGATAGTTTCGCTCGCCGCGTCGCCGACTGCCTTTTGCGAAGGGGGCATTGTTTGTTTACCCTGTTTTAAGGGTAGTTTGTTGTTACTCGCTCACATGGACCTCCAAATTTCAGTACGTGCGCTTGCTTTGTTGGGTGCAGCTTCAGGTGCAGCTCCTGAGCAAGGATGAGGTCCGTGAGAAGGTCCAAGCTGCGATCTACCTGCAGAGACCCAGGACCATCCAACGAAAGCGCCAGCGCATTTTGGCTTTTTTTTGGCTGGGGGCGAGGGGTGGGCGGGGGCGGGCGGGGGGGGGGGGTGGTCGAGGCAGGGCAGCCTTAAACAGCTGAACGATATTGCCCACTCTCAGACATGTGCCGCTTGCGGGCTTGAGGAGGACTCAAAGCGTGCCGGCGCAGGCAGACTTTGTTGCCAAGATGGGCGGTTTGAGATTGATGGTGGGTTCGCCTCCGTGCTGCAGGGTTGGATCAGCTTCCTGCAGACGCAATCTGATGAGGCGGAGGCAGGGATTTGAGTTTGCGCCCGTCACGGTGGAGGCCCTTTTCGACTAAACGTCGCAAGTTCACTTCAGTCTACAAGGGGTTGGTGGCATGTGGTTGCCTCTTGGCACATGAAACCCGCCACAGGCGGCTGGCAGTGATTTGGTGGAGATGGCACTCAGCTGCTGGGCGGCAAATATGTGCCGACAGGTTGCTTGTGGTTTGCTATGCACTCCGTGCTTCTTTGTGCTCAAATTGAGGCACCCCAAAGGGCCAAAGGGCGCCCACCAGGGGCACCCCAAAGGGGCACCTCAAATTCCTTTCCTTTTCCTGAGGTTGATCTCCCATTCTTTTCATCCATTATTTTGATCTCCATTTTCGGCCATTCTACAGGCTCATTCATTTTGTTTTCCGATCTTTTGCCAGGCAAAAACCAGCTGACCTTTGCCCGCGCGCCATGGCCTGACTGGCCGTGCCCCATGGCCCGGCGCCTGCGCGGGCACGCGCAGGGGCTTTCGCCGGAGGAGCGCCAGAGCCGGCGGCTCAACGACCAGCTGGCGGAGGCGGAGTCGGCGGCTGAGCTGCTGCGTTGGTGCCAAAGGCGCGGGTGGGGATGACGAGCGCTTTCTGAAGGGACCAAGGGGAGGCCAAAGGGAAGGTTCGAACCTGCCTACTCCACGGCGTATGAACTTTCAAGGCATTCCCGAAATTGGCTAAGAAAAAATGTTTGGTCCTCTTTGCCGTGTGGCGCGTTCCGAAACTGGATTTGGATGGTTCGATCACCACCTTTAGGTTGAAGTTGCTGGTGACTTTCCTTTTGGGATGTTTCGAGGTTGTATAATTGGGATGGTGGAAAACATGGATAGCAGTTGCGCAGAGGCGCTCGCCCCAGTTCGGCGCCGTCCACCTCGTGACGGCGCTGCACCGCGTGGCCAAAGCGCCGGATGGCGCGGAGGAGGGATGGATGGGGGTGCTTGGAGGTTCATACTTAGTAGCTTAGTAGGCTGCAATACCAGGGATTTGTTGCTTTATAGGTTGAACATCCAAGTGGAACGGGGTGGAGGGTGGGGGGTGTTCCTGCCTGGCTTTCCGAACTCCGAACTGTCTGAGCACGCAATCTGAACCTTGCAGGTGGTGGGCACGCCGCTCTTTTAGGATCTGCTGTCGGAGGTTCATGCGACGCTTCGCGACGAGTCTCCGCGGCATTTGTCCAACACCGCGTGGGCTTTGGCCGCTTTGGCGGTGCAGCGCCCGGCGCTCTGGGCGGCGACCTGCGCGGCGGCCTCCGCGTCGTGCGAGGTTTGGGACCCGCAGAACACGTCCAACGGCGCGCGGGCCACGGCCACCTGCGAGTTGAGCTTCGCGCCGCTGCTGGCGGCCATCGCCCACACCGCCGTGAGGAAGATGCCGCACTCCGGGCCGCAGTCCTTGTCCAACACGGCCTGGGCCTTTGCGGTGCTGAACCCGCGGGAGTTCCCGCTGATGCAGGCCACATGTCGCCAGGCGTAGCCGAAGGTGGCGCAGTGGCAGGTGCAAGAACTAGTGAACTCCAGTTGGGCCTTTGCCAAGGTTGCGTTCTGCGACCAGCCCCTCATGGCTGCCATTGCCATGTCAGCGGCATCGAAGTCTCACAGGTTCGTGGCACGGGATTTCGCCAATATCGCGTGGGCCTTTGCCGTGCTTGTCCTGCCCGGCCAGCCCTTGTTGCGAGCCGCTGCGGCCGAAATGCCGCTGAAGTTGCCGGAGGGCGACTCCCAGGCCATTTCCAATAGCGCTTGGGCCCTTACTACTTTGCTCTATCACGGTGGTCCAGCCATGAGTGCCATCTCTGCAGCGGCGCTTGCTCACATGAACGAGTTTGATGAGCAGGGCTGTTCAACCATGGCCTTTGCATTTGCAGCTCTTGGTCCCGAACATGAGCCCCTCCTCAACGCGATTGCGACCCAAGGCCTTGCAGTTTCTTGGCTGGTCACCGGCTTGTCGGTTTGCCTTTGCCCAGAGTCCCTGCTGTGGGTCAGCAAAATCAGTTGCATCTTGCAAGGGTCACCTGTTCTGCACGGCCCCAATTGTTCCCTCACATTTTCTTGGGCTCACCACTATCCTCAAGTGGGCGCGTCCAAGCTGCTTGCCCAGGTTTGGGGCCGCGGCGAGCGCGTGCCCCAATTCCGGCACCTCTTGGACACCTTGGGTGGCCTCGTTGCCCGGCACAGGCCTTGAAGGCCTCCAAGAGAGCGACCGCCCGGAGCGAGGGGCTTGTGTAGGAGGTGCCCACTTCGGGGCTCCCCTATGAGGTGTGCCTCACAGCAACTTTTTGCGGATGCAATGGGGAAGGCGCCTGCGCTGAGCGCTCCAACGCGGCGACATGTACATAAAGTCCGACCTTCGCGCTCATTATTCGAAAAAAGTTTACGCCGACGCTCTGAAGCCTCGTGCATGTTTGCTGGTAGTGTGCTCATGCTGCCAGGGGGCCAGAAGCGTGGCATGAAGGATGTCATCCAGCACATCGAGGAGCCGTAGTCATGCCCCCTTTGCCTTTGGAGGTGGTTTCCACAAGTAAGTTGAGAACCCACCGATCAATTGACCAGGAGTTCGACATGAATATATGAAAATAGATGAGGCGTCAGCCACTATGGCCAAACATGACTGGGTCTGCCTTGCGCTGCCCGCGCCAGATTTCGTAAGAATCGAATTGGGAGAGGAGTGGACCGCTGGAATCCAATTTGTATTGGTGTTTTGCCTTTTTGACCGCTTTCCCTAAGAGAAAGGGGATTTGTCAGTTATGGCCCGGCGCAGGACATTCATGATGTCCTTGACAAAGAGCAAGCTTCCGACAAGGACGTGGTCGATGAGCCCGCATCAGACTCGATGAGCATCAACATGTTTAAGACACTCACAGGACTCACTGTGAAGGTGACAACACAGCAGAAGTCCCGGTATGATCAGTTGAAGACAAGCTCGCGGCAAGCACAAGAAGTGAGCTGAAGAGCTGAATGAACGACATGGAAAGGAATGTGCGAAGTGAAACGGCAAGCCTGCCATGCGCAGCCTCACCTGCAAACCACTCACACTTTTTGGTACTATTTTCGCTAGACCAGTGCTTCGGTTGTGGTTCTAGCCGTGCGAAGGAGCGGCAAAGATATTGCGAGACAAAGCTGCGGCGGGTGCGAACCCTGAGTTCCACTTTGTGCAGCTTTATGTCTCACTCCTTCATTTGAGGGTATGGAACTGGAATAATCTTTCACTGCTGGAGGGTCTTGAAGCAGCCACCCCAGAGCCGTTTACACCTTCTCGGGCTGTGCCTCCATATGTTTGACGCGGGCCTGAGGCAGAAATGACCAAGAAGGACAAGGAGAGAGATGCCGAGGAGTGGTCAAGAATGAACAAAGCCTCTCACCTTTCCAAAGTCGCGACGCCTGAGGATGCCACAAGCATCATTGCCACATTCCAGGCCGGGCAGGCTCAGGTGACCGGATCACAGAAGAAAGCTTATAGCTTAACCTGCAGCATGACGTGGTATCTGTGCGGGGACGGGGCTGGCCAGAATGAGCTCGACACGGTGATCGCGGAGATCAACACCTTGGAAGGCCGCATGAAGGACGGCAAAGTTTGGCATAGCGCTCTGAATCAGCTCCAACAACTCCCAACAACTCTTCCCAGCCCCTTTCAACGTGTGCGTCGTGGAAGAACTTTTTTCTTGGCCCCGCCTCTTGGCCAACTTTGGCGGGGGTTTGGGTGATGTTCGATGGTTGATGTTGACCCCCCTTAGTGATGAGGGGGTTCCCGTTGAAGAAAGGAACTTCCACCCCTAGGAATATGGACGCCCTGCTACCTGCGGAGGCTCATTAGTCGGGGGTCAATATCGGCCGGGGACAAAGACTTGAGGGAAATCTCAAAGCAACTTTCCCGTTATATAAATGGCTTACCCTCCCTTGCACTACATCGGTTGAAACTATTACGTATAACTTTTTAACCCCAATTTTAATAGTGCAAGCAGCATCATAATCTAGAACAACAGTTTTAGAACACTTTTTGTTTCCACTTCAAGCTTGAATAAACAAGAACAATTACTTGCATTTGATACATTCCTTGAACCATACATGACCATCTTCCGTCAGGGACCCAGCGACTTCCATAGAGTTGCTGGGACTGGAGTCATTGTTCCCCCCCCCCCAAAAAAAAAAAAAAAACAGGAACAAAAAACAACACACACACACAGACAGAAAGAAACAAGCAAAACAAACACATACTGTACACACACACACACATAGGCGGGGCGTTTTCCTCGAGCAAACGGGTTTCTGCGCCCAGGACTTGGACGCGCAGGTGGCCGACGCAACCCAGGCCCGTCAGGCGGAGCGTGCTGCCTTCGCCGGGGGCCTCGGTGGATTTTCCGCCCGCGGGCGGGCGCTTCCCCCCGGCTTCCGAAAACTGGGCTCGGGGCTTTCTTTGGTACCGGGGGTGGGGGAACACCAGTGGGCACGGACCTAAGAAAAATGGTTTGGGGCCCAGCAAAGTTGTCAACCAGTCACATGGACACACGGGTCCCACAATGAAGCCATACCAACGACTTCTTGCGTGTAGGTATGCCGTGTGCCGCACGTAATGCCAATTGGCTGTCAACAAGTTTGTAGGTGCGCAGAGAAGCGCCGCCCCCTCCTGTCCCAAGTTTCCGGCGTGAATTTCGATCAATGCCCGAGGAGAAGTCTCGCGAGACCAACAGCGCGGCGCTCCTTGCCGGTTTTGCACTTGAGCATTTTGGCCGATTGGCTTTCCATCGGGTGTGCTTGCAAAAGAACAGGGCGCTCAAAGGTAGTTCGTTTGCCCTTTTGTCAGGCCGCCACTGCAAGAAGAAGGGCTAGTGTTGAGTGTACCTGTGAAAAGATTGAGATGCTTGACTCAAACACGTTGCCTGCAATACTTGATCCTTCCGACATGATCCCAGGAGGAAAAATGCCTTTGTCTCGAAAGTGCAGAGCCTCCCTCCAAATGGCTGTGGGTCAAAACCAATGGTACCATTTTGGGATAGGTGCACGACCCATTTAATCTACTTTAGTGGGGATTGGGATGTTCTTTTGACCCATGGCCTTTTGGTTTCTCCGTGGCTGTAGGACTTCTCCACGCCAGGCCCTGGAGCTCATGGAAGTGGCGCAGAAACGGATCCAGCGGCGGCTCAGCTAAGGTCCCCTCGTGCCTCAAAAGTTTGCCCGTAGGTGGCCCCTACCAAGCCCCTCCATGATGTTTTGGTGGCGGGTGTTGGCACTCACAATGTCCAAATGTAGTGTGAAGGCGGCGGCTGGTGGGCCGCATCACATCACGATGTATCCGCCACCCTTGAAATCTTGATGGTCGGAAGGATGAGCGAGCTTCGTTTGGCATGTGTTGTCGGAAGACCATTTGAAGGCAAGGTGGCTCCCGAGAAAGGTGTATCCTCTGTTGGCTTGGGTTTGAAGCGATGGTTGGGCGGGGAGGGAGGGGGGAACAATTTTGGGTACAGAATGGCAAATTTAGGACTTTTGAACCTGGCAGAAGCCATCTGAAGGGTTTTCAAAGGGGTGATGAAAGGGTTCGCCCCCTTCACCCAGGGCTTTATACTTCTGGGGTCTAAGATTGCATCGGAGGCAAGCATTGTCAGTAAAGGGCACTCTGGGCGCACAGCGCAAATGAGCTCAGGCCGTCCAGGTGTCCAGCACACAAATCCCACTGGCTTTGACTTGTGTGGGGTGTATGATGTTAACTCCGGATGTTGACCCGTTGATGGCTAAGGAGGTGCGGCAAGGAGAAGATAATTTATTCTAAAGGCTATCCGGCGTCCCATTTGACCATGTTTCCCCTGATGTTTTTTTGCTTTGATTTCTGCTCGGATGTGACGTGGGCGGTACCTGAAGGGCTTCTCCCCACGGCCTAGCCCGAACAGGGCACCAACTCGCAAATGAGACAACCCCCACGAGGTTTTATGCTGCCAGCTTCCTCCAGGCGATGGGCATAGCGTGGTGGTTACAAGTTGGCGCTTGGAGTGGCTGATATTTGCCGATCTGGTGCGGTTTCTTGTTTGTTTTTCTTGTTTTGGGAGGCCCCCAGGAGTAGTCAAAATGTATTGACACACACTTGGTTCAAATGGGGGGCTGCTGGCTGACTCACCTGGGCTGCGGCAGGAGCAGGAGAACGCCACAGAATCCGCCAGGCTGGTTGAGGCATTTCGTGTTTGGTCCCATGTCTCACCAGAAGCACTCTTTAAAAAGGGGGAACTGCTTTGTGCCCTGGTAGGTGTGGGGCAGGTGCACCAACAGCTCTTGTTCGGCTCCTTATAAACCCCAGTTGCATGCATGCATGCATGCAGATAGATAGCTCTGTAGACACATAGACATAAGTATTATGTATACATTTGGTGCATGTACATATATATATATATATATTTCTACATATGCCGCACGCACACACACACACACACATGTGTGTATGTGTATATATCTATCGATATTTGTATACTTCAAAGGACATGCCTTTTTGGGAGGTCGTTTCCACTCCGCCTTTTGTCTGTGGGTTCTTTCACAAAGGGCAGTCATACTTTGACAACCTGGGTCAATTTTCATGCTGTACCTGCTCGAAAAGGGTCAATGACTTATACGAGTGACTTGAAGTCGGTACCTTTCTTTTTGAGGAGATTGGCGCATTCCCTGGGGCAACTGGCTGTTCCTTTCCAACGGATTCCGAAGGATCATGTCAAAATGCGTCCGGCACAGCCTGAGCCAAGAAAGAGTCATGTCATCGCACGGTGTCCGCGAGGCTGGCCTCGCCGCCGGAGGCGGACCTGAGCTACCGCGCCCAGGGCTTCTCGGATGTGTACGGAGGCTTTGGTTCAGGCAACCCCCAAAACTTCATTTTGTGTTTTGCTTTTTTTGGCTCCCAGCAAAGCAGGCGTGCCTTCTATTTTCCCATGACTTCAAACATGAGACCCTGGTATGGACTCCTATTTTATGCTTGAATTTACCTGCAACATGTGCCTTAACTGTCGGGAATATAGAAACAGCCTTTGATTGGCTAGCCAACTGAAAGGGGCTTCGCCACGGGAAGCCCCTACAGCCCTATGGCCCTATGCGTCTATGGTTAGATTATGCCCTCTTCCTTTAGGCCGTCAATCTATTGGGCGGCCTTGCAAAGCTTTTGGCGCCCCTTGGCCAAAAACTGCCATGGATCCCAGGCGGGGCTTCTCAAGTGATGCTCCTCTTTGGGAAGATCAAGGCGCCTTTGCAGAACGTTGAACAGTAGAGCGCGAATGAGCCCAGGCGGACATCCAGAAGCAGACCATGATGCTGCAATCTGATGACGAAGTGGCAGCTCCCTCAAAGCCTTCACTTGGAGTTTGGCATTGCAACTGGGGTTTTGACTGGGCCAGGGGCAGTCCGAATACGAAAACCTGGTGAAGAACAGCAACGAGAAGAAGATGGCAGACAACAAAAGCCTTGGCGGGAAGCAGGCGAGGAGTAAGGATCGCTTCAGAAACGCTTTGCCTTTGCCCAGTGCCCACACTTCGGCTTTACTGACAAATCACTGTGGGGCCCTCACTGGCGCAGCTGGTCGCACATCACAACCTCAAATGTATATGTTTCAGATTTTCGATGCAGTTTCGTGCGTTGTTTCCACCTTCGATCCGGGCGGGTACCACTTGATGCGTTTCCTTGTTGAGCCTAAGCCTCTCATTGTTCAACCTACTTCCATCAAGTTCCCGGCAAAGACGGCTGTTTGGCTGCCTCCTTTCTTCCGCTCACGGCAAGCCTAACCCGTGGTCGCTCGTTCGAACCCTGCGTGAAAGGCTGGCCGGCCCCTGGCCTCCCCCAATTGGGGCGCCCAATTCTGAAGCCGCAGGCGGCCAAGGCGGAGCTGGAGGCGGACCTGCAGCAGGGCCGCGCGGAGCTCCGCTCGACGCAGCAGGTGCTGAAGGCCTTAGCGGAGGCCGGTCTGGCGGTCTGGTCAGTGCTTCTCGAACTCCGTCCGGAAACCAGCTGCACGGAAACCGAGGAAGTCTCGAGTGGCAGTTTGGCGATGCATTCAGTCTGCTGGGGTCAAATGTGGCGAGCTGGGCCTGACTGAAGGCCTCAAATGGTGGGGTTGGGCAAAGCCTGTCCATGTTGGGAAGCTCCCCCTTTTGTTTCTCAGGGACTCACATGGCACTTTTTTACCTCACGTGAGGTGGGATTCACGCGGGAATGTTGACCTCTGGTTCACCTGAGGCATCCCTGACAAACGACTCACGAATCTGGACGTGAGCGGTGACAAAGAAACGTGGACTGCGCGAGATAGAGCGCTTTGTTTCCTGTGGCCAGGAAACCCGGAACCTGCATGCTGAGTGCGACTTCCTTCTGAAGAGCCTCGCTTGCAAAAAGTTGGCTTCGCAACGCGGCGGCCCTGATTCGCGCCTCGCCAAGCCTCAGGAATTTCGATCTGCGGGAGGATGTCTGGTGCTGAGCCTTGTCTGCCACACTCAACACCCGGATAGGCAAAGGCTAAGGGGCATTCCCGCCAAGAGAGAGGGGCGGAAAGAGCCGCTCTTTGGGTTTTATTATGGCTCAAAATTAAACAGGAGGGGTTACGCAGGTTTTGGTCCATGTTTCCACTTACCAGGGTTCCAATTTGGTACCGGTTTTTTGAGCCACAGCCTTTTGGGTAGACTCCTTTGAGTTGCCAGGCTTTGTGACTCGGGTGCTTGGCTGTGCCAGGCCCGCCGCTCGGAGCGCCGGTCCCTCACCAGGGCAAAGTCTGTTCTGGAGGCTGCGGACGCCTAAGCCTGGGAGCAAAAGACAAGCTATTGCCGAGCGCAAAGCTGCGGCTTGGGCTCTTAGTTGCGGGTGGGGCGTTTTTTTCTTTTTCTCCATGATTCTTGGGGCAAAAGTAAAACTGGGGAAACTGGGTATGTGAATCCCGCTTACAGAGAGGGTTATTTGGGCAGGCATCGGCAAGCAGGGGGACTGATCACGGCCTTTGCCATGCTGCCTATGCTTGGATCAAGGTCAAGCCAGCGTTGCTTGGATGGTATAGAGATCCGTTTGGCTTATCGCCCGTTGGGCACGGTGTTCCTGGAGGCAGCCGTAGTCTTGTGCAAATTCGCAGCTTGCAGCCCACTATGCGCCAAGAGCGCCAAGCACAAATCCAGCTGCCAGCAACTAGCAAGCAACCCAGACACTTGTGCTTCTCTGGGAGCCGAGGTTTCACGCTTTCCAGGAGCCAGAGCAGAAACAAAAACATGTTGCAGTGTCCTAAGCCCAGTTGGGAGGGCCCATCCTTGGCCTTGCGCCACCCCGTCCGGCTCGGCCGGTCCAGTTGGCGTGCCATGCTGGAGCCACCCAGCGCCGGCGCCGCAGAGGGCAGAGACAGCGTGGTGGACGTGGACCTGCCGCGGCCCTCCCGCGCCGAGCGGCTGAAGACAGTCTTCGCGCCGCCGCCGCTCAGAAAGTGACGGAAAGGCGGAAGCAATCCGGCGGGAAGCTGGGAGTGGATGTGAGCTGAGGGCGATGGTTTTTTTCTGTGGCTCTGGTGCGGGGGACGGGCGGGCGACCAAGGACCGAGGATTCCTCGGAGAAGAAGAGACCAAATGGTGCGCTGAAGGAACTATTCTCTGACTTCTTGGAGTGGGTGGTGCATCCCTACGATGCATCTGGGCTGCATGCCCCCTTCGTGTGTGTTTCTTTTGTTTGAGAAGCCGGTCTACAGAAATCCAACTATTTGTGGTGTCTCATTTTCCCCCAGCCCATGGGTTCTTGGGGCCCAAACGGCAGTTGTTCCGGGGCATCGCAAGCTGCAGCACCTCAGGTGGATGTAGAGGAAGGCGACAGCGATGAGGAGACGCCTCAGAAGCAAGCAGAAGAAGAGAAGGAGGCAACTTTGTTTCGCTCTTTAACAACACGTGCGCGTTTCAGCACGATATCATAGTTTCTTGGGTAGTTGTTTTCTTTTAAGCATGCCTGCCCGCTGGCACTAGCAACCAGCTTTTATGGGTGGTCAGGTGGTGAAGAAGACCATGCGCGAGAAGCGTCTTGGCTTGATATGAGCCCTGGCCTGGGTAAGGGGAGAGTTCCCAAAAGTGGTTCGGTTGGCCCTGGAACAAACCCCTAAGAATCAACCATCAACCAGTCGGTTAAACCTGGCTCAATCCGCTTGGTGCATCCGCTGCTTGGGACTTGGTATCTTGCAGGCGCCTCTTCTTTTTGCCCTCCATGTTGGGCACCGGAATTGGTGGTTTGGGTTGAACTTCTGGTTCTTGAGGGAAGATGGGAAATCACCCCGCCAAGTAGAAGACCCCTAACCTCCAAACCACAAATCCTTCCGCCCAAAAGACAGGGGAGACTGAGTTCGGCAATGCAACTCATCTTGGTGCGAGCGGATGGCAGGTTGCAGGCCGTCGTGGCGTCCAACGGCTTCGAGCAGCTCGCCCGCAGCGGCCCGCTGGTGGCTCGCGTGGCAGCTGACTGTTTTGGAATCAGACCCTGGGGTTAGGAATTTACCCCCATGTGATTTGATAGGCGTTTGGATGTCGGGTCAGTTTCAGTGTGTGCGGACAAATTTCAGTGAGGGCGTTGCTGCGCTTTCATTCCGATCCGAGGGCCGCCAGCTGTCTGCTCATCGTGGTGAACATGGGCTTCATTGGCACTCAGGCCAACTGCCGGGGACCTTGGACTTTGCAGATAAGCAGACCAGCCGGAAATGTTGCAAGTCGCGTCACGGAGTTTTTAGCCGGTGGTGCATCGTTTTTTTTTTTTTTTTGGGTTTCGGTTCAGCCACTGGACAAGCCGCCGCCCGCGGCCGGGCACTCCGGAGCTCGGAGCTCACGGAGCTCAGGCGGGCAGGGCTCGAGCTGCTCCGCCACGCTCTTGTCCCTCATCAGCACCTTTGATGCGCCCAGCCTGCAGTCCCATGGACTTTGGGAAAGCGCGACACATTGGCACGCGACGCGTTGGGAACCGGTTCCCACTGCAAGTCCTTGCAAAGGCCTTTCTTCTTTTTTTCTCCATGAGGTTGCTGTGATGATTTGGTACTCCACCAAAGCTTTTTGGAATCCGCAAGGCAGTGAAACGGACCCCATTCTTATGGCTAGCATCCCAGCGACTAATGCTGACTGCAAAGACATTGGCATTTTACAAGGCACAGTCTCTTTCCATATGTACATTTGCGGGTGTGCCCATGCACTGTGCCTGCGTTTTTCGTTTCTTTTTCTTTTTTTTTTGGGGGGGGTTGTTTTGCCCTAAATTTGGTTTGTGACGGTATTAAGAGGGGGCACACCGTGTATTTCATCATACCAAGGGGCCTGGTTTTCCGGAAGCAATTTCTGATGTGTGTTCAACGTGGCTAGGATGCGAGCCGCGCGTGGGTTGCTTGTGTGACTGGAACGGGGACCAAACAGGCACCAGTCGGCTGTTGGCCTTCCGGAAGTGCCCCATTTGTTGAACCTTTTGGATCCTTTCGAATGATTCTGGAAGCAGGGCAGCCAGTAGGGCATTGCTTCCCCCATAGAGCTCAGGGTTGGCGCTCTTGCTACTCAGGAGCTCTTCACGGCCCTGTTCCTTGTGGACACTTGGCTTAGATGGTCTCCTCTCCCATGGGGTGGGGGCTTTCTTAGGGTGCCCCTTGGGTTTTCGTTTGCTCAGTTGCTAAAGGTCGACGGTTCCGCAGCTTTGGTCTGCCTCAACTGGACTCGAATAATTTTCAGGTCTTTTCCTGTAGGGTCTCGCTTCTCAACCCAATCGGTTTTGCGTACCCTGGAATGCCGAAGATGCCTTCAGGCGATATGTCTGTAACTGTGCCCTTTGTTTGGCTATTTCCGTAGTATGCTGAGCCAGGGTGCAATAGAAATTGAAGCACACACCTTGCTGTTCTTTTGGATTTGAAATGGGCTGGAATCCACTCTCCCTCAGACAGCAGCGGAGAAGTGCACACTGGAGTCCCCCAAAGGCTGACAGTTGTTGGTCTCCTGTTCCTGAGGGTCATGCCCCCCTCCAAAAAGCTCTATGGGCGGAAAGACGCCAGGAGTGGTGTTTGCGAGTGGCCGCCTTCGGGCGGAGCTACTTCCAAGCCATGGCGAACTGGATGGACACCTTCGTGGTGTGGATCGTGGGGGTCTTCCTCTTGTGGGTCGCGCCGATCATCTTCGGCAGGGAGGGCCTTGCGGCCTTTCAGGTGGGCCGAAAGCAAGCTTTGGTTTTTCGCCCTGGGTGGGCCGTGGTGTGGGAAAGAAAGCTTGAGGGTGGAACGCTGGAAAGGAGGTAAATGCATCTTTCTCCAGGGGCTTCCGCCGAGTTGCTGTCTTTACCCATCAAGCCCATGAGGCATCATCCACTTGGAACCATTTCTGGGATGCCCTCAGCCGGCAGACCGGTGGACCCATTGCTTTGCCAGGCCGTGCGGGCCATCCGAGCCATGCGATCCCTGAGATCCTTCCGGGTGCTGCGGCGCTTCCAGAGCTTCCGCATGCTGCTCACCGGGGTGCTGGGCACCATCTTCACGCTGGGGGTGCCCCGCTTCAAATCCCTTTGGATTTGTGCTAGAGCCTTTTTGGGCTGATTGAATCCACTTTCGCAGTTGGGAGTAGCATTTTTTTGACACACACACACACTTTTATGCGGGGAGTCCCTGAATGTGAGACACAACCACTTGTTGTTTGTTTATTGATGCGTGCGGGTGGCTTGGATGGCTGGGCTGGCGCCGCTTCACAGCCGGAATGTGCCAAGGATGGTTGGGGCGTTTGTAGCCATGCTAGGTGCCGGTTTGCAGCTAGATGCACTGAAGGGAGATTAGATCCCAAATTAGATGCCATTGGTGTCTCTTTGTCTTGTCCAAACCAGCCCAACGGCTCTTGCGCGGCAGGCCTGCGTCCTCATGCTAACGATTACAGACCTGACCTTCGGCATCCTCGCAGTGGATGTGATAGGACTGGAAGAAGTGATGGTAGAGTTGGTGTAAACGTAGCCATGGCCATTTCTTTGAAGCCAACAGCCATTTCTTTGAAGCCAACAAATGGACGATGTTGTAAATGTCTCTTCCATCAGAGGGTTCAAAGAGAGAAGGGCTCAGACTGAGCACCAAGAGACACTGGAAAGCCGCGCAGGGCGCGACTCGGAGTGGGGCCTGGCGCCTGCTGGCACAGCGGCCTGGTACTTCCAGAATGGCGTCATCCAGGCTTTGCGTGGAAAACAACGGGCCAGGTGTGGCGGGTTACACGCATCTGGCGTTTGGGCGCAGTCTGAGAAGCTGTGGGCCGGATGCAGGGCAAAGCCAACCAACAGGACTTACCGACCAGAGTTATTCACCATTAAGTGGGATGTTCCCCAAGTGTGGACAGACTGCTTTTTCCTTTTTTGCTGGGCTTGGGAACCCAAGCAAAACCGAAGCCCATTTCGGGGATGCTCCTAAGTCAGGTTGGCCTTGCTGCTTTTGCGCGCCAGGCCAGCCTCACTATGTCCCGCTTCATCTTCAGCGCCTTGGGCGCGAGGGCGAGCTTGGGGGAAGGGGCTGGGGGGATGAGCTGATGAGAGATCCTTTCGTGTGAAGGTTCCTTTTTATTCGTGCTAGGTGTGAAGAAGTGTTCCAGAATCCCCCTCTAAGTGAGACCCGTTTCGTTGGTCGGGAAGCCAGCTGGGTGGCTGTTGGGTAAGGCGACAATGCCGTGGACATGATCGAGGAGCTGCAGGAGAAGCAGCCGCAGATTTGGATCTTTTGCTTCCTTTTCATGGCCATCGCCGCCTATGTGATCCTGAACCTCGTGACCGCCGTGATTTGTGCCAGGGATTGAGCTAAGTGGCTGAGTGGCTGTGCATGTTCAAGAGTTTGGAACTGCTTTCAAAATGGTTGGAGATGAATCCGTCGCGTACTTTTGATGTCCACAAAGAGCCCATGTCGGATTATTCCTTCTCTTGTTGGGTCCGGTCAACGATGCCCTCTTGGGGAACGAGGCAACATTTGTCCGTGGCCCCGGCTCGGGTGGGCCGTTCAACGGGGGGATCCACACTTGGAGCCTGTTCAGTGCGCCCAAACAGCGTGGCTCAGCTTTGCCAAGCACGCGCTTTGCTCACCAGTCCACGGTGGCTAGGTGGTTGGCTCCAGTTTCTGGCAGCCACCTGTCACAATGGTGAATGGAGAGATTTGATCCTGCTTCCACTCATCCATCCATCCATGCATGCATGCATGCATGAAGGCATGCATGCATGCATGCATGCATGCATGCATGCATCCATCCATCCATCCATCCATCCATCCATCCATCCATCCATCCATCCATCCATCCATCCATCCATCCATCCATCCATGGATGCATGCATGCATGCATGCATGCATGCATCCATCCATCCATCCATCCATCCATCCATTTATTCATCCATCCAAGCATGCAGTTTGTCAGACCCTTGGAGGGTTGCGGCCAGGGCACGCACGAGTCATGTTCAAAGCTTTGTGTTGAAGGAGCGCTCACGCCGAGGCGACAAGGCCCAGGCGATCGTGAACGAGAACGAGGCAGAGAAGCTCTTCGAGCTGCGCATGCAGGAGAAGAGGAACATGAAAGACCTCAAGACCCTTGGCCTAAACTCATGAATCAAGGAATGAGCTCATGTCTCTACGTATTCATTATATATATATATATGTATCTGTATATATATATCTATATCTATATCTATATCTATGTATATATCCATATATATATATATATATCGATATATGTCTCTGTATATATATATATATATCTTGAAGAGGGTAACTGACCGCCCGAAACACTCAACGCGGCCCATTTAGGCCAGATCTGGACCCCCAGTGCGTATCAGTTGTAAAAAGTAACACTGTATATATATATATATACATATGCTTGTACATATAAGTGCACACACACACACACACACGCACGCTGGTTTATCTATATCTATGCTTATATCTATGTCTATATATTTTTCTTATTGCGGAGGAGGGCTCTGTGAACATATCCAATAGGCTGCGCTTACATCATTTTTTCAAGGGCATGTGGGTTGACAGCAATTTCCGGAACCCTCTAGCGAGCCGCTCCGAGCCGCCCTCAACCGTATCCACCCGCTACTCCAGCGAACCTCCCGGAGCCTAGATTCTTTTCAGAGCTGCGCGTAGCCTTGTGGAACTCTATCCAGATCCAGCCACCGCCCCGAACGCACACCGGAAGAGGGTTCACCCCGAAGACCTCAAGAAACCGCCCGCAACGCCCCCGAGAAGCCGCCCAGCGAGGCGAGTCTTCGAGGTGTTGGACGAGGACGGCAGCGGCCAGGTGACCACCGAGGAGTTCGATGCCGCCTTCGAGATCCGCGAGTGCCGGCGCGGGGGCTTGGAGAGAACGGGCCGGGGCGGGGTCCGTGTGACCTGCGATTTGCAGCGTGTGGAACATGCAATTGACATTTACTTTTTCGTTGTGCTGAGAGGAGTCTGAGGATTCATTCGGCCACGTCAAACCTTTAGCATGCGCAGGGACAAGTTCTTCCTGCTTGGCTTTGAGGAGGAGGCAGGGCGGGCTCTACAAGCCCACAATGGCGTGTGCGGCGGGGTCCTGCTGAGGGCACTGATGTCTGGTTCTCGCCTTCGCCAACGGGAAAGCAGCCCCCATGGGATCATTTCTGCAGAAGCAGCCTAGTCGCTTTGGACAACTTACCGCCATTCCCCAGTGCAATCTAGAGACCTTTGGACCGCTGGCTTGATGCTCCTTCCTCCCACTTGGGCCAAAAAATGGTTTGCGACCCTTTGGGAGGTTTTGGCCCACGTGATGCCACATTCAAAACAGAACCCCCCCCACTCTGGCTTGCTTGTCGGGGCTTGGAAGCGTTTTCATCGACTGGATTTGGGACACTCATGCGGAGTACTAAGCAGATAGTTTCAGCCGGCTCACTTTTCCAGGATTCTGCTGGCAACTTTCTCAGAAACGGTTGGCAAAGACAAACGTCCCCCATTGCTGAAAGTTCCCCGGTCCGTTTCTTCTTTGTGAAGTCGCAGGAGATGAAGCAGCTCTTCCGGGTCCTGGACGACGACGGCCAAGGGGAGCTCAGCGTGGAGGAGCGCAGCCCCCGGGCGCTTGGCCATGGCGAGGTAGAGTAAAGCATAGGACGTGCATCCCCTTGTGGAGGGCTGTCAAAAGGAGAAAAAGAGGCAGACAGCCTGTCAGTTTTGAGGGGGTTCCAGAGATGATACGAACTTAGCTCTGTCATTTTTTCGGACGACTCCATGCCGCTCGTGAGCCGTGCTGCTGACGATCGCTGCTCATGCGCGTGCAGGAGTTTCTGAAGGGAATGGCGCAAGTACAAGGACAATGCTTTCGCCGCAAACCTGCTATGTTTGTGAGCCTGCCTGTATGGATGCCGAATCCAGCTTGTCAGTGGCTTGCAAATCTCTTTCATGGGCGCCAGCAACGCTGGTGTGCAGGAGACTGTGACTCGAGGTCAATGCTCGTCGCCACGAAATCGCTGGAGAAGGCACTGTGTTGAAAAGGGGGGGGAGAAAGGGAAAGGCAGCGCCATGAACGGACAAGTGCATGCAGTTGTATTGCGTCAACGTATTTATGCACGCACACTGCGAATGTGACGCAGAACCAAGCGGCCACTGCCAGCACCAGGCAGCCAATTTGAGTTAGTTGTATATGAAACACATGCGCATGATATATGAACAGACATGGACATGCGGTTCATATAGGGCATTCTGTTTGCAGTATATTGGTTGGAGGGTACCGGCTTGAGCACCCCGCCTGAGCTCAGGTTTGTCTAGGCTTCGACAAGGCCTTCAGCCGCCGGGGTGGCAAGCTGTCGGTCTTGGATGCGGACCTGACCCCGCAGAGTGACAGCGAGCTGCTGACGGACATCGATGCTTGTCAAGTAGCCCCGGGCGGGGGCTTGCGGCCTACTCTCCTTTCTCCTTTCTCCTTTCCAACGTGGTAGCTGACCAAGGCCCCCTTAAAATAAAACATGTCTTCAAAGAGACGCTCTAGATCGCAGTGGAAAGGAAGGGGCGGGCGATCTTAGGGATCCTGTCAGGTTCCTTCCGTTGAATAGTGGACCTATTCCGTGTGTTTCGGGTCCATGCTGAGTGACATACTAAAGAAACCCTTGGCTTGATGCTGAGGTTGTTTTCATTTGATTGTGTTTTATGGTGTGCGTGGGAATGCCGCTCAATCGTGAGCAACCTTGGCTGTGTGGAGCATGCTTCTAAGCTCCAGAATGAGATCCACAATGTTGCGATAAACGCCTGCGCGGCTTTTTTTTGGGTGCTGGTGACGAGCATGCAAGGAAAACATCGCAGTTAAGCGCTTGGACAAGATTGACGAGTTCATCAAGAACATGTCTTACAAAGCTGATCTATTTGAAAAGCAGCTGGCGACCATTGAGAGCCTCCGCGCCGCTGGCAAAGCCACGGAAGAGGAGGCACAGGATGAAGAGGAAGAGGGGGAGTGAAGGTCGATACTTGCAATAAATCGGAGGTCGAGGACATGCACTGCCACCCTCATTTACTTTCCACATGCCTGGATGCCGATCTTAGATGTGTAGGATTCTGGCTAGCGGCTGGCAGAAGATCCTATGTGCAGGAAGCGCCCGCGCGCGTTGAGCGCAACATCCCTGGTTTTTTCACCGGGATTTTATGCGGTTTCCGTGCTTGGGCTTTCGCCAGGGAGCTTATTTAAGGCCAGCATGGCGCACTGTCATGTGGCTTGAGTCAGCAGAGGCAAAAAGAGATAGAAAGAGGAATAGAAAGAAAGAAAGAAAGAAAGAAAGAAAGAAAAGAAAGAAAGAAAGAAAGAAAAAAAGAGAGAGAGAGAGACATAAATGAATAAAGAAAGAAAGAAAGAAAGAAAGAAAGAAAGAAAGAAAGAAAGAAAAGAAAGAAAGATAGAGAGAGAGATAAATAAATGAATAAAGAAAGACAGAAAGAAAGAAAGAAAGAAAGAAAGAAAGAAAGACATAAAGAAAGAAAGAAAGAAAGAAAGAAATAAAGAAAGAAAGAAAGAAAGAGAGAGAGAGATAAATAAATGAATAAATAAAGAAAGAAGTACATAAAGAAAGAAAGAAAGACATAAAGAAAGAAAGAAAGAAAGAAAGAAAGAAAGAAAGAAAGAAAGAAAGAAAGAAAGAAAGAAAGAAAGAAAGAAAGAAAGACATAAAGAAATAGATAAATAAATAAATAAAGACAAATAAATAAATACATAAATAAAAATATAAATAAAGAGTCAAATAAATAAATAAACAAGAAATAAAGAAAGAAAGAGAGAAAGGAAGGACGGAAGGAAGGAAGGAAGGAAGGAAGGAAGGAAGGAAGGAAGGAAGGAAGGAAGGAAGGAAAGAAGGCAGAACGAACAAAATAAATAAATAAAGGCAACCAAACAGACACAGACAGACAGGCAGGTAGGTAGGTGGGTATGTGGGTAGGTGGATAGCTAGATAGGTAGATAGATAGATGCATAAATATATTCGATAGGTAAAGAGAAAGAGAAAGAGAACGAGGAAGAGGAAGAGAACGAGGAAGAGGAAGAGGAAGAGAGAGAGACCGTGTGATGAGAAGTGAACCGCATGTCTGGTGAAGCTCTCTTTCAGACATCTTTGTGCTTTGCTTCGGTGACTCGCCCGGCCGCAGCTCGCGGGAGTCGGGCGGGGCCCGGGACCCGTGGCAAAGCGCCATGGCCGAGCCGGTGCGCTGGGGGAAGTTCGGGAACCGTTTCGGGCGGAGGGGTCCAGGGGACCCGGAGGATTTACATCCAGGGGTCCTGTTTCCCGCTCGAAGCGAAAGTCTCGTTTGTGGTGGTCAACAGAGAGACGCCTTGGGCTTGAAGTGTGTGTTGTTTTTTTTGCAGCGGCAGATCCTTCCCGTGCTTCGATTCATCATTGGCTTGGGTTTGAACAGACTCGGCACATGTGCGGAACACGCGGCAGACGAGTCGGTCGCCGAGTCACACCGAGTCACACCGAGTCACACCCGTGGGTTTCAGGACGCGCTGAACCTGGATGCGGCCGCGAAGGCCGCCCTGGCCCCTCGCCTGGGAACGGACTCGAGGAACTCGATTTCCGGGTTCCGGTCGGGGGGGCGGGGGGCTTGGGGGGGGAGGTTCTTCGCGGCCTGTTGGTTTCCGTTTTGGAAGGCGAGCCTTCCTCGTGTTGCCGTTGTGAGGGGGGGGGCTCGGAGAATGCCACTGGTGCAGAACACAACTCTGCACATTGCAAGCTGGGCCAAAACACTAGACACATCAACACCGATGAGCAGAAGAAGGACGAAGAAGGACAAGAAGAACAATACACATAATAACCAAGACAAACAATGCGAAGAGGCAGAGGCAGAGGCTTGGCAAGCGAGACTGCGCTGAGGCGGCAATGCAGGGCACCATCTTGACCGGCGAGCAGCTCAAGATGTGGTCCATCGATCTTAGGAAAAACGGAGGTTGTGAACAAAGTACCCGGGATACAAACCCAAATCGAATCCAAGGCCTGGGCTATTTAGGGATTCCTCCTGAGGGTTGCGGCCTCGCGGTGGCTTCGCTACGAAATGACCCCTGCCAGCATTTGTCAACCTAACAGCGACGGCTGGCTTGTGGGAGCTGTTCCAAGTGCGAGGGGTGTCATACGCCCCGCTTGCTCCAGTGTCACCATATGGGGCCGGACCATGAATTTGACAACTTTCTACTGGGTACATGCTTGCATTTTGGTGTTCGTCTGTGCTGAAAAGGAGCTGACAAGGAGACTTCTATTTCGTCTGAGTGTTTGGCTCACCAACAAAGACCGAGTGGGAGAATTGCAAAGTTATGGCTCTGGGAACGAAGTCGGTTCCTCTTCACTTGGCAATTTGGGTGATGATCCTCTTGGAGCGAAGCGTGAGCTGTTGGCAGTTTGGGAGCCGAGGTGAGGGTGAAGCGCACCCACGACCTGCTCCGGCCCGGTCCGGGCTTGTCTCGGGAAGGCTTTGATCCCTTGAAACTAGACCAAAACACATTCCCTCAAAGAAGCAGCATGGGTTTGTACAACAGCAACCCTCAGAGGAAACAAGGAGTCGACAGCTTGGCAGCGGCCAGCCGGGGAGGTGAGTTCTGGGTCGTGTGTGCGTTTCAGGCGACTGTCCCCGAGAAGCAGGACAGACTATTTGTGGCGAAGGCATGGGCGGTAGGTGGGAGGGACTGGTCCAATTCAAAGGTCAACGGGAAGGAAGGGGTGCTTTCTGAAGCAGGCTGGGGGCAGTGTCCAACTGGAGACAAATGCATTGAACTTTGGCAACTGTCAGAGTAGCAGTGGCTGGAGAGGACATCAGGGCTGGGCAAGCAGACCCGACCTCTTGATGCGGAATGCGGATGCTGCATGTTAAAGAAACAGCGGCTCAAAGATGCTGCAGCTCATGGTGGGAGTCTCCTTTCCAGACGTGGGTGTGTCTTTTTCTGGGAGCCCTCAAAATTGTGGCTTTCTTTTGGTCCCCTTAAACCCAAAAAAACACCCAAAACGGGTACCCTCAAAAAAGACACCCCCACACGTCAACCGTAAACGCCTCCCGTTCGGACGCACCTTGCGTTTGCACTTTTCTTCAGGTGCCACAGGCGGTGGGCCAAACCGAGCTCAGGGCATACTTCTCCCAGCCGCGCAGTCAGCATGACCAGGAGGTATCCCAGGAATGTTCGTTTGGACCCGAGAGTAAGTTAGAGCAGTGGTCGAAGACTGCAGGATTTGCGGGGATCCCAGTCCCTTGGATTGGATCCCAGTCCCTTGCCACAATTCTTGGACCACTGCGGCCATATCCTATAGCGCAGCCTTGACCCCGGATTCACAAGCCTTCTAGCTGTTATTGTTTGCCCGGCTTGCTGGGGCTTCCTTTCCTCCAAGCCTTTCGATTTGCCAGAGACTGAACAGCCCAACTTCTGCACGGCCCTCCGGTGCTAAACCGAGGTTTGGCGACCTCACAGATGTCTACCTACCCTCCCAACCGGGCGGTGGCAGGGTGCCCATGTCCGTTTCGAGGTTGTGCCTGCTCTGTTCCAAACTTTGGCAGATCTTTGGGGTTCAAGCCACCATTAAGACAACGGGGGTTCATATAAATCACCACCGGGGATGTCTTGGCGACCGTCCTCATGCAGCAAAACACGAGCGAACTGATCCTCTTGGCGCGCGGCCGTCTGCGCCCAAGGTGGGCACAAAGGAATTTGCTTTGTCTCGTTCGCCGGGCGCTCAGACGACAGACGTGCGGCCCTCCCAAGACAAGAAGCCATTGGCGGACCAACTCTCGCCCAAGATGTTGTGCGCGGCATTTTGGACCCGCGGTTCGGGGTTCTGAAATCTCATGGCGTCTCGAAGCCAATCGGAGTTTCGCGATCGGAGAGAAAATGCAGCCTTGCTCAGGTCCATTTAGACATAAATAAGCACGCATCCCCCCCAGTTAATAAGGACACCCCTTGAAAGAAGAGCTCCGCCCCAAACCGGGACCCCTTTGAAGTGCATGACATATGTTGTTGATGAAGTGTCGACAAGGCCCAATTTTGGGATACGGGCTCCTTTGCAGTAGCTCCCCCGTCGGGGTTTCAAACCGGGTTGGTTCCCAAGCAACAGGGCTCCGAACCGCGCCGCTTGCAGGCCGAGCCTAGCGGCATCCACAAGGCGATTTCCCATGGGGCCCACGAGATACAAGGAGCGGCCCGGGGGCAGGTCGCGCCCCGCGCGCATCTAGATGGGTATGCCCTAAACAAAAATGCCATAGCGGCATCCCCCTCCTGTTAAAGCGGCAAGAAGGAAGCTGCAGGGCTCTCCACTTTGAGAAGCACGCCTTGTTTATTGAGAGAGCGTCGGTAGCCTTGCAAAGTGCGCCTCTTGTACATGCCCAATACTGATTGAGAGCCACCGCAAGAGGAAAAGGTCATGACCTATGGTGCCTTGGTCCTTGATGGCCCATGGTCCCTGGTCACTAGTCATCGCTAGTCAATAGGATGATAGCAGGCAGCCTTGCTGAATCAGTCTATGCGGCCATTGCCCAAGCAAAATGGGTCTGTCTTTCTTAGGGAAACCCCTTGTTGCTTGGTTTTAGGCGGAAGACAAGAGGAAACCCGTTGCGCCATTTTGGGGGTCTGCTTCCAAGCAAAAGACCCCCCAACAACAACTTCGCCAGGGAGCCTGATCTCCGTGGACATTGCGGCGCCCCGAGCGCCAGTGCCCCAGCCAGGGCAGGGCAGCGAATTCGCGTTCCTGGGGCAAAGCGAGGGAACCGAAAGCCAAAATGACCTGTCACCTGGGGGTCACCTTTTGAAAGACGGCCAAAGGCCATCACAGACAAAGAGAAGAGCCAATCCTGGATTTGGGGGCAGGTTTCCAGAAGCACCCAGCTGGGCGCGTCGTTTCTTGAGAGTCAAAACTTTGGAAAGCCACAATGTTGAAGATTCCATAGGGCAAACCAGTGTTAGCTGGCGAAAATGCATCCATAGGTGTCCTTTTTGGTTGTGCTAGAAAAATCGATGGCCCTGGTTTACCGTTGGTTTAATCCATCTATTTCCCCTAACAGGACACCTATGAATGCATCCTTTGTTGGGACAGGTGGGTTGGGGTTCCCGAACCCCATAGCAACCCATGCGTCGGAGTCTCAGAGGCCGCCGCCGTCCACGGTCACGGCATCCGTGCAGAGCGGGTGCCGGGTCTTCCTGACCAAGGCGCGGCCGTTGCGAGTGGATGCATTTGGCCATGGCATTCAATTGAGAACCACCTCCATGGACCTCAATCCCCACCCAAATGATGTCCACCAATGTGAATTCACCTTTCTCTCCTGATCTCCGCATGTGACGTGACGGAGCGTAACACCAGGAGAATCTTCCAGACCGAATCTTACACGGCGTCCCTCACAATGTCCACCAAAGCGACCCCGTATTAAGATTCATGCCTGTAAGAGTAAGTCTTTTGAAGGTCCTGCAGTGTCCATTTGGGAAGGATGTGGGGGGGGGCTCACCGACTTTCCCGCAAAAACCAGGGGAGTGATCTTGGGCAAGCAAGTAGTCGTGCTCGTGCGCACGAGCAAATGCCAAAAAGACTATCCCTTACACGTGGCTCGGGGAAGCGCACGAGTTTCCCACACCCGAAGAACCATTTCTGGTCCGGGCGGAAAGAACAACTCGGGATGAAGATCAGCAGATGTGGTCAGTTCCAAGGAGGTTCGGGTCCAACTGTTGCATCGCGAATTTGGCAGGGGCTGATGGACCGCAGGTGATCTTCGCAGCACATGGGTAGATGCCGCAATGAGATTCCGCGCGCAGTTGGCAAGTGTCCATTTCCGAATGCACAAGACGTCAGCAGTAAACTGAGCTGTGTGCGTGCCAAGATGCGGAGTATTCAAGATTCAAGATGTTCATTGAGTGAACGAACCCCACACAAACCTGAGACCCCCCAACACCTATCAAAACAGTAGCTCGCTCGTGGCAAGCTGGTCGGGTCCGATGGCGGTCCCGACGCTGGAAGCTGAGCTGGTGGTGGAGATGAAGGCTGGCCTGGGAGAGGGCTCCATTTGGGACTCCCGCCGCGCAGCTGCAGTCGGCAAGTGAAAAGTCAGGTTGACTTTTCCTTTTGTGTGTGTTTGGAGGCCCTGTTCACCCAATTCAAAGGGACGCCACAGGTGTTTCAATAGGTTTCATCTTGATATCGGTTTTAGGCATTGGTTGTTTTGATATTCCCCGAGCGTGTCTATCAATTTTCTGGAGCTAAGGCTCCAAGAAATTGCTTTGGCTGGACATCGTGGGAAACTTGGCAGCATCAGTCCTTGCAAAAACTAGACACGTTGCGCTGCTTCTTGGTCTCCGCGTTGCTGTGGGTTCCTGGCATCGCGCGGCCAAAACAAACATCTATTCTGAAACACGGTGCCAGCGCCAGGTGCCAAGATCTTCCGCTTCGACCCGGTGAGCAAGTCCAACGAGGAGTTCGACCTCTCGAGTTTCTCGCCCTTCGTCAGCTCGGTGGTCCCCATCTCCCAAGACTTGGACCCCCACGGGGACGTGGTGGGCGTGACGCTGCGCGACGGCTTTGCCGGGACCCTAGCGCTGAGCAAGCAGATGCAAGCACCCAGGGGATGGTGTCATGCCAACCCCGTTTGGACCAACGGAACGCTGTCAGACTGTCATTTGTCGCTATTCACCAGGATTTTGCGGTTGGACGTGGTTCAATGCCTACGGCAACTGTACCCCTTCTACTGCCCCCATGTGGATCTTTCGCCGTGCCCGGAAGGCGACCTACAACTTTCGGTCGAGAAGCCTGCAGCGCCTGGGCAACGATCCCGGGGTGCAAGAAGGGGAGCGCTTCAACGACGGGAAGGTGCCGTGCGGCAAGGTCCCTAAATGCGTACCATTTTCTCAACTGCTATTGGGTTGGATCTTTAGACTTTAACTTTTTGGGAAATCAAGGAGTTTTCCACTAAACCCCCAAAAAGTTAAACTTTTTGCAGGGGGGTCAACAGCAGCCAAGTTTTGAGGCTTGTCCAAGAGGGAAACCAAAGACACCTTTCTAACGACAGACCGAAATGTTGCTAGTGAACCAACCACATCCAAGCCCACAAAAACTGAGGGCAAATTCTGAGGGTTTCCTGCAATATATAGGGCGCCCGACAACCCCGCCAGCAGCCCGTTCTGAAATTTAGGCGCGTAATATGGGTACCACATTGGTGTATTGAGCGCATCTAGCTCTTGCTTTTCTGCCCCAAGAAGTTAGAGTTTCGTAGGTTGATTGGGCGAACACCTGTTTTGTTTCGGGGTCCAAAATCCCTGAATTCAACCATTGAATCCAAAAGTCGGTCGGCATTTGCAGTATCAAGTCCCTGTTCCTCCTCTGATGGTTTCCGGACCCTTCAGAGTTATAGCCATTTTTCGGCTCAAAAGTGTCCAGCTTGTCAGGGTGCTGAATCACATGATCTTTCATTTATGGACGAAACCAAATGGAGATCTTTTTTTTTCCACTTAAATTATTTAGCACCCGCCGAGTCCCCCCCCCCCTTCCCCCTTTAGGTGGACCCCCGCGGGTGCTACTGGGCTGGCACCATCGCGCGGAACTCCGCTGGGGAGATCCTGGCAGGTGCCAGCGCGCTGCAGCTCGCCCCAAAAATCGACTCATGACGCCGCCGGCCAAGCCCCGAAGAACTTGGGTTCTGACGCTTCTTTGACATCACTTGTTGTTGGGAGGGGGTTTCCCGTTTGTTGAAAATGGAAAGGGGGGCTGGCTTAATTTTGTCCTGCCGTTCGTGCACTTCAACTTTTGGACCGGCGTCGTAAGTGAGTTTCCTTGTGGTGCGGTAACCTTGAAGAGGAAATATTTGGGAGGGTTTGCTTGTGCCAACCAACCAGTATAACCAACACACATTTGTGAACCACGTTTTCCGTTTCTCCTTTGTTTGAAGCCCCGGTCATCGATCCCCCCTCTGCTTTTCTTTTTCTCAGACCAAGCCCTTCATGCCATCCGAGTCTGGAAGGTACTGCCGGGAGGCGGACGGCGCGGTGCAGGTGCGAAAGCCCAAGGTGAGCATCTCCAATGGCATAGTGTGGACCAAGGACAGCGGCCTCCCCGCGTTTGGGGGTGGACGTCAGGGGGCTTGAAGGATGCCAGGGGCGGTGCATGGGCCTGGTGTTTTTGTTGTTTGTTTTTTTGTTTTTGCCTTTTCGAGTTGAGGGGGCCTTCCTCTTGGGAAGCCACCCAGCTTTGGCGGTTCCCGGCTGCCTTTTCACGGCGCAATGCTTAAAGGGGATAGGGAGGAACCTGTGTTGGGACTCTCTGTGTGCTCCCTTGCACCTGTACAAATGGATGGGGCTTGCTTTTTCTTGCCAAGTTGATCCGCAGGTGGGCATTCTAGAACCTTCTCACCATTCCATTCGAGAACCGGGTTCGTTTGTCAGCTACTTGGTGGTTTGGGGCCTGAGAGGCAATCCGGGGAGTACAACTGCATCCAAACCATCAGTTGCGGGAGCTGTTGGCTGGACAGCTGAGTCTTTGAGAGCTACCGCCTTTGGCTGGTTGAGCCCCGCCTGAGGCAAGGTCATGTATTACATCGACACGCCCAGCGCTCGGGTGGAGGCCTGGGACTTCGACCTCAGCACGGGGGCCATCTCCAACCCCCGGCCGGCGGTCAGTGGCTTCGACTTTGCGACGACCGGGTTTCCGGATGGGCCCGGCGGCCCAGAAAACGCCCCTCTTGGTCTTGGGGCTTGTTTGTGGAGGTCTTGGGGCAGGTTCGGGGGTCACAGGGGGCCGATTTTGGGAGTCGGGCTTGAGCAGAACATGGGGAGTGTGTGGGGCCCCGTGCAATTTCATATGTACAGCACAGGTGAGCCTTCACAGCTGTTTGGCCAAGGTCCCTGCACTTGTATTTGCCCAGGGCACTTTTCCTTTCAAATGATCAGCCTCCCAGCCTCTTGCGGGCTGTTCGGTTTCCATGGTTTTACCAGTTGCTGTTGGACGGTCACCGCAGGTTCCCGATTCCAAGATGCCGAGGTGTGCCATCGACACTGCGGACCGGGCTTGGGCCGGCACTTTGGGCTTCTGGCCTTTTTGTTTTTCCAAAGCGCAAAGTTGAATCCTGGAGCGTTTTGTTTTTCGTCTTTCATGCGAGGCAAGTGAGATCGGGGTCAGTTGGCCCGTTGGCCCGTTGGCCCCAGGACCGGCTGTGGGTGGCTCGGTTCAACGGGGGCTGCTGCGGTTGGTACGACCCCCGGAGCGGCGAGCTCTTGGCAGAGGTGCGAGTGCCCGCGGCGGCAGGGAAGCAGGCTGGGGCGTTCACCCAGAGGATCTCCAGGATCCTGAGAATCAACCATCTCCAGGCTAGCATTGATTGATCAACCAGGCTAGGATGGGTCAACGGGAAAGGTCCGGTTTGGTTTTGGGGGTTTGCTGTGGGCTGCCGGGCTATTTGGTTGGGGTTGGGTTGCCTGGGCTGGAGGTTGGTTGGGTTGCTGCCCCCAGAAATCTTCGGACGATTCACGGAGGAGCGGAGCTGGGGCCCTTTGTTTCTTTCTTTTAGGTCCTCAACCGGCCAGGTGACTTCTGTGGCCTTTGGCGGCGAGAACCTCGAGGACGGGCCGGGCCACTTTTTGTTCGCCGTCTTTGGTTTTTTGTTTTAGGCTCCCTCTCTGAGCCCCAGGGGTTGGAAAAGCCGTCCCCCTGGTTAAAAACCTCATCCGCATGCCTGGGTTTCAGATCCACAATGGCTGGAGCCCAGATCTTCCTCTTGCCCTCAATGTTGCCTTTCAAGCCCGCGAATCTTTGGAACCCACCCCCAACACACACACACACACTCATCTAGTCTCCACCTCTTCAACTTCGGTTTCCCTTTGGTCCATCCAACAAAGGGCCCCCCCCCCCTTCCCCCCACGCCACGCGTTCGGCGCTTCCTCAGGACCTCTACCTCACCACGGCCCGCGAGGGCTTCGACCCGGCGGCGGCGGAGCGCTGCCCGTTGGCTGGGTCCCTCTTCGTGGTGCCCAAGGCCTGGGCCCCGGGGCCAAACTCATAGGCGTCCTTTTCAGGTTGTGGTCAAAGAAGGATGGGTTCCACTGGCTTAGATAGGGTTGTATTCCATAGGGGCATCTATTTGTCCAAAAGGACACCTATTTGCAAACTCCTAAAATGGAGGGGTGAGACGAAAACCCCTGAGGTGTTCAAAGACCTTTGCGGGCTCAAACTGGGCGAAGAAGATGGAGAAGCCGACCCTGCCCATGTTGACACAAAATGTTTTGTCCGATTAGGTGGCTTTCAATTGCCTTGTCCTGGCCCTTTGTGCCCCATAGGACACCACACTTGCCATGTTTGCGTCAGTCAAGGTTTCCATTTTGGGAGACTTTCAAACACCCACTTGATGGATGACCCCCCACCCCCGCTTCCGTGTGATCAAGTTGAGGTTGAATGGTCGCATGCCTGTGATGGGGGAGCCTATCCATAAGTTGTAGACGAGAGCCGTATAAGAGTCTCGCTTCTTTGTTGGGGGGAGGCAAAGTACTTTGTAAGCGGCACACTCCGTGGTTTCCTTGAGAGTAAGCCCGCCATACAGCCATACAGCGGATCTTTTGGGGGGTCACCACCGGGGTGCTCAGGGTATGTTTTTGATGCTTTGTGCTCTTTGAGCCTTTTTTTCCCCCTCTCCGGGGTACCACCGGTCAGGGGAATCCACTCGCCTTGCAGGTCGAAAGTAGACACTATTGCCCAGGTGGGTACAGGGGATGAAACCAAAAGTTGGACTTGCGGCTCATGTCGTTTTCGCAGGCGCAGCTCGCAGAGATCGGCGCGGTCCCGGGCCAGCCGGCGAACCAGCTGAAGCTGGCGCCGTAGGTCGGTTTCTTTTTGTTCCATGGGCTCGCGTTTTCGAGGGAAAACGTGAAGCCGTCCATGGGGGTTTCAGTTTTGACTGTCTCCGATTGGAGGGAAATGGCTGGACACCGTTCACGGGGGAATGTCGAAATGATGGCGCTAAGAAACCCTTCTGTAGAGTGGCCTCCTGGGAGACAGGGCAGGAAAGCACAGGACCTGCGCGCCCTGAGATGGGCCTGGTACAGAGCATCCGACTTTGCCTTTCGACCAACAAACTCTGGTGTGGTGTCAAAAAAGCGGCAGAGAGCATGCATGCCGAGGGGTGTTTGGTTCTCAGTGGCCGGGGCAAGCCCAGATCCTTGCATCCTAAGCTTGTGCGACAAGCCTGCTTGGTGACGGCTTTTGCGAGAGAATTGGCTGGAGATGGCAAGAAAGGATAAGGAAAGAAGGAATGTCCTATCTCTTTCACTTCCTAACCTCTCTCGCTTCTCAGCCGCGAGGCAAGGGTGGAAGATGAAAGGATAGGGAGAGAACGAAGAGAGCATTGACCTACAGATACATCAGTTCGTAGCCGCCTGCTGCCTGCGGGAGTGCAGGTCAGCCAGGAGCTTACTAGACTTGACCTCCAGGCGCGGTGGGAACTTGGGAAGCTGTTGCATGGGCGCGGCCTGGAGAGTTGATGTCCCGCATGGTGGGCTGACTCGGGATGCCCGCATGAGCCAGGGAGCTCTTAAGGGACGCGCGCTCGCCGTCGCCATTTTGCTTTGGCTGCCCTGTGCAGAAGCAGAACTTGGGCCACGAAGTGCTGAAGTGATATTTGTAAGCATTCCATGGCCCAGCCTCTTCGTTGAAATGGGTGTTTCCCAACAAACAGGGCCCTCGGTTGTCGATTTCCTGCAAACCGCTGAAGCACTGCGTGATACTAACGTCCAAAAAAGCGTCCATGTCCCATACGGACCCTGGACCCTGACCCGAAAGAAGCGGGTGTAGTAGCTGGACTTTTAGGAACTTCATGTTGGTTTCTGTTCCCTTCATTCAGCCGCTTCCACTTGCCCATGGAAGTCCCATTTTTGTTTTCCCAGTCCATGACGGCATCCTGAAGTCGCGTTGCCCGCCTCCGGCCACCGATGCAGCCGGATGGAGGCGCAGGTGGTCGCCTTGGAGGCGGTTCTGGAGGGGGAGGGGTGGGGAGGAAAGCCACGAAGAGCTCTGGGGGCGAATGGGCAGACCTTTCTACACGCTCTCCCTTTGGTAGGCCAAGAGCTGTTTACAGAGTAATTTGGAATGAATGCTCAGGTGTTTGCCTCCTTCCCTGTTTGCAACTTTTAGAATGTGGAGCGCGAGCATCAAGCGCAAAAGGCGGCAAGTCCTCTTTCTCCAACCTTTGCAGCCCTTGGCCCTCTGAGCACTCCGCTCTTGTTGCTCGCCAAGCGTCGCCAACCGAACACCTGAGCGTCCAAGAGGGAGCTTCTTTTTGCATGGACTTCAAGGGAAGGGTTCCCAGACATCATCCAACCCTCCCACCAAGAAACATGGTAATAGCCCTATCCACTTGGAAAGGGGCTGCGAGGTCGCCGGCGATTGGCCAAGGGCCGGATGCTCTAGAACCAGACCCATTCGACCCATTCCGACCCAGCCAACCTTGTTCACTTTGGAGGCCCCGAGCCTGGGCTTCACTTATTGCCAGCCGGCCAACAGGCAAACCTTCGGCTGTCGGAAGCTGTGGGACTCGGAGACTCGGAGACTCGGAGAGGTCAAGGCGCCCTTCGCGCCCTTCGCCGCCCGGGGCAGCGGCCTGGCGCTGGCGCTGCCCGGCTCGTCAAAAGAGTCGGCGCTGGTGCTCACCACCTGCCAGGCGGACAAAGAATGCCTCGCTGGGCCTCACTCGGCCGTTTGTGGCATTGTGTTTTTTGGCATTTGTTTTGGGCAACTTGTTGAGGCTGTTTCTACACTTGTTTGTAGGTTTCGATCGTTGAAGGACCAACAACATACAGGTCGTACCCCATATTTCACACTAGTGTGGTTTGTGTCACGCAGACGACAAGAGCAAGCTGACCATTGGACATCGCGACAGGTGAGGCCGGGCAGTTGGCTGGCGGTCGGCAGCGGCGGTGCAGTGGTGGAGGCCCAGCTGGTGGCGAGCCTGCGGCTTCGCGGTGCCTCGGAGGCGGATTCGGCGCTGCGGCGGGAGTCCCTGGGGATGAGTATGGGCGTGTCTGTTTTGGTTTGCCGCACAGGCATGGATTTGTTGAGTTCTTCCCAAACAGTTTCGTGGTCAAAATGAGTCCTGGTCATAGCCCCTTGGCTAGGAATCCTGGCATTGATGGCTACACTAATGCCCTTGTTACCCCAAGTGCAGGCGTGCATGTACGATGGCGCACACACACACACACGACAAACAGCCCCAGCGAATGGTAGCAAATTGCGAGCAGGAAAACGAGTGTTGGTGTCCCTACGGGTGTCTTTTTTAGGGGGCCCACTAACACGGATTTCGGTTCTCCTTTTTCCCCTTCCCACCTTTGAGCCAGGCCTTCCGGAGCCTCAGCGTGCGGGGCTGGAGGTGTGGGGACGGCTTGCAGCTTCACTTGCTGCGGGCTGACCTCCACCTCCAGGCAGACCCTCGTGCCGCAACGTTTGGGCGGGCACGAAACCAGAAACCCCCGCCGAACGAGCAGGTTTAAGGCCCAACGCGCACGCTACCGCGTGCACATACCATTGGATGTACAGGTGAATAAAGACTTTCACATTACGTGCCTGCGTGGCAAATATACGCAGGCGCGTGAATACACACTTGTATCTTTCACACATGCCAGCAGGAAGAGACACGCAAACATAACACACACGCACACACACGCACACACACACACACACATATATATATATATATGACGCACATACACACACACACGCGCATATGTATATATATATATAATATGCGCATATAGCTAAATAAATGCATAAATGACAATAAATTTATAAACAAAGTACACATAAAGAAAGGAGTATATCAATACATCACTAAATGAATCAACAAATAAATGCCCACACACATATATATATATATACATATACGATCTGATAGACGATGAAAAGGTAAATGCATCGCTACACATGACACTATAGAAGGCAGAGACACTAAACATGGTTTCAATCCGGATGCACGTGTACATCTTTACGTGCAAGCATGCATCCGTACCTTCTATTCCATTCCATTCCGTTCCTTTCCATTCCGTCCCATTCCTTCCATTCCGTTGCATTGCCTTACGTCACGTGTGCGCTTGCATTGCGTTACGGTACGTTGCATAACGTGACATGACACTACATGACGTGACGCGACATGATCACGACATTACGTTACACTTTACATTACACTTACATTTCATTTACATTACATTTACATTACATGTACATGACATTCGATTACATTTGCATTACATTTACAGTACATGTACATTGTATTTAAATGTATTGTAAATACACACAAGTACGTTACAAGCACATCACTTCAAATCACATCGCATCACATTTTACATCACGCGACGTCATGTCACGTGACGTACATACATGCATACATGCATGCATGCACGCAGACATGCGCGTGCGCAAGACAGCCGGCCCAGACAAACAGAATTAGGGGTTTTCAGTGTTTTGCATCATGCAAAGTGTTCTGGACTGCTCCCCGCACTCCACTCTTCGCACCGCCACCTGTACACCTGCGCGCACACAGAGGCAAGGCAAACAAGAACATGCACAGAGAACCATGCAGGCATTCATACACAGAATCACTCGGACAGACATTACTCACGCACACACACACACACCACACACACCTATAGAGACAAAACACAAACAACACAGACAGCAGCAGACAATTACACACACACACACAGAGAAACACCGGCAAACACAGACGGTTCCTTTCCAGCAATGTTTTTTGCCAATTGTAGATTCGCAATGAAGGAGGGAATCCCAATATGAGGGGCTGATGTCATTCAAAACAGCAACACGCAGGGAGGTCTCCATGCATGGGACGCCCTCAGATTGTTTCCTCGCCCCCACTTCTCAAAACTGAGTCCTTTTTGGCTTAGTAAGGTGGCACAGGTGTCAGTTAGACTCTGCGCTTGCCACCATACTCTTATTTTTACAAAGGAATGCTGCAGGACTCGAGCCCAAACACTTATAAACCATTCCTGCCTTTTTGCTGGGCGCCCTAAAGTAAGATCTGGTTGCTCAAAGGGTCCCCTCGTCAAAAGTAGCCTTAAATTTTTCCGAACCCCTCAAACTGCCCGCCACTTTTTCCCTGACTTTCCCTCCCTCAGCCAACCGACCCGAATTCCCCCCGCCCCCCGCCCAACGGCTAGGCCCGGCGCCTGCGGCTGGGCGGCGGTCCGCAGGACCGCTGGGTGGGCCGCGGCCTGCGGCTCCTCTCGGCGCCGTTCGGCGCCAACGGGGCGCTGTCCGGCGCCTGGGCGCCGGAGGTGGTGACCCGAGGCGGAAAAATCGAGTCATGGTCAGGAATGGGCTGGGGTGGGTGGTCTAGGACGAAAATTGGTCGTTCCATGTTTTCGTGTTCGGTTTTGTTTTTGTGTTTGTTTTCGTTTTTGTTTTTGTTTGTTTGTTTGTGGGTAGCTTTTGTTTCTGAATGTTATATGTATGTGGGTTGTGTTATGTCTCTCATGATTGTACAACCCAAATGCAATGAATTAACCATATTTGGATATTTCAATGATTTTACCTTTGGTCAAGTAACAATGAAGCCAACTACGATCACAGTGCCGTTCAAATACAGAAGTGAACATTTTCTCTGAAGAAGCACAACACTCTGACCTTCCATTTTGTTTTTCACAGCTATTATGTTGGTTTGGGAAGGGGTTGAGGGTTGAGGGCGGTTGAGGGCGTGACTTGTTGTTCAGCTTTGTCGGCCGGGAACGACTCGACTGGCAAGGCGTGGTGTCCAACCTCTCCAGCCCAATGGGGTTGCTGCTGACAGATGTCCGCACTGCGGAAAGCTTTGCCGGCGGCGCCTTGGTTCTGGACGACAACCCAGAAGAGGCCGATGAAGAAGTCGCCGATGGCTAAATGGCAATGCTCCGTGTGGGTTCCCTGCAAGTGCTTCATTTGAGGCCCCAAGAAGGGGCTTCCGAGCTCTCTAGCTTCAGCTCTTCAACCACCGCTTTGCTTTGATGTACATGGGGGGTAGCCCCTCCCGTCCAACGGAATCGCCTTCGCCCGAACCCGAAGGTGATTGCTCTCATGGCGCCTGCCCTGCGCAGCGTTTCAGGACTGGGACCTGTGACCTCATCAAGCGACTGTTGGCTTTCAAAATTATGGATTTAAGGGGGGGCCCGTGTACTGAAGGGTGGGGCAGTTTTCAGTGTTGCTGAAACCCAATGATTTTCAAACTTGTGTGTTTTCGAAGCTGGACTGCCCGAAAAGGCTATGTATTTTTGGAACAATGCAAAATACGGACTTGATGTCATTGCCTTGTTTGAGCCTTTGAAACTCACACCCGGTGAATGTGTTGTTTTGGGCATTTTCTGACTCAGATCACACATGTTGCAAACCAGAGCAAAATCAGTATAAACTGTGGGTGGCACACACCAGACCATTTCAAGGAGTCAGTTTGTGGGGGGCTAATTACGGATTTATGCAAATTATCAAGGTCGCCCGCTGCACTTAAGCACGTTTCTGGCGCGTTTAGCCCGATTGAAGCAGGGTGTGAACAATTGGTGAGGATAGACATGTTTTCCGGATCTGGCGAGGTCAGCAATGAAAAACGCGGCACATACCCCAGTTTCAGCAACAGCCTTCTTCAGAACCCCCACGGAAACACCCATGGATCCAAGCAATTCAGTGCAGCAAGGCCCAATATCAAATTAAAATGTACTCACGCGTTGCAAGGTCAAAAAAAGGCAGCCCCGTACAAACAAAGTGGCGTGGGAACATCAACAACTGAGCCCATTTATCAAGAGACGATGCAAATTTACTGTCACGCAACGTGCCTTTACAGTGAGACCAGCATTCTCACGACTTTTGCTCTGCCGCTTGAGATTCAACATACGCCGCAACGCAAGTGACTTTTACTTGGGCCCAGCCAACAAAACTTTAGTGCAAAACTCAACCAACATGCCTTCAGTGCGGCTAAAGGGCGGATCAAATTCCTTATGTGCACCACCCAAATCTAAGCTAAGTCACCGGCAGCCAAAATTCCATAAGTGCGGCCAAAATTCCTTAAGTGCAGCCAAAATTCCTTGAGCGCAACCAAAATTCCTTAAGCGCAGCCAAAATTCTTGAAGTGCAGCCAAAGTTCCTTAAGTGCAGCAAAATTCCTTAAGTGCAGGGTTAATTAGCTTAAATTCAGGGGGGGGGGGGTGCACTTAAGGATTTTGACCCTGCTCGAGATGAATTTGGTGGTGAATTTAAGGGTTTTCGGGGCTCAAAAGCGCTGTTTCAGCATCTAAAACCACTAAATTCACCACCAGATTCATCTCGAGCAGGAGCCAAAACCCTTAAGTGCACCCCCCCCCCTGAATTTAAGCTAATTAACCCTGCACTTAAGGAATTTTGCTGCACTTACGGAATTTAAGCTGCACTTAAGGAATTTTGGTTGCGCTTAAGGAAATGGTGGCTGCACTTAAGGAATTTTGGCTGCACTTAAGGAATTTTGGCTGCCGGCTATTTGGGCTTAAATTCGGGGGGGGGGGGTGCAATCAAGGAACTTCGGCTGCGCATGAGGAATTTCCGGCTGCACCGCTCTTTTTTCTGCACGTGCTAAAGGAATTTTGTCTGCACTCAACGAAATTTGGCTGCACTAACATTCTTGGCTGGCCGTGCTTATGGAATGTGGCCCGGTGATCAAGGCAGGAGCTCCCACTTGAGTACTAGCTGCCCTGACTACAGCACCATCTCCATATGCTTAGCGAGCCCCATTCTCACGGCCTTCACTCTAAGCTATAAACTGTCAACCATCATCCAGCATTCCCACAAATCCTTGCCATCACTCCACAGTTGGCAAAAAAAAACAACAACATTGTGCACTTCTGACATGCGACGTTTTTGATTGCGTCACGGCTCGGTCCCACCATGTTAAGGTTGCTCAATGATTCAGCAAAATTTGCTCTTGTCACACAAAAAGCCACCGAATCTTGCAAATTCTGAAAATAAGCAAGTTCCGTGGTTTCAGACAACGGGCCGACTCTTAAGTACACGGGCCCCCTTAAATCCGTGATTTTGAAGGATTTCTTGACTCAGCGATTTTGCCCCGCCCCCGAATAAATTCAGCAATCAATAGAAAAAGCACAGCGACCCCACAGGATTTGACAGGCTGCCCTTCCAGTAGTGAATTACTTTGACGAAGGCGTTTGCATCCATTGTTGCTGCCAAATGCACTTTCTGTAGCGCAGCCGGTTTTTGCATTGCTTTCACGAGTGCCCAAAACAAAATACAACATTCAACCGTGTCCCGGTTCTGACATGTGCTCCGATCAGAGGTGCAGACACAGGAGCAGGGCTTAAGTGCACGGGTCGGACATTAAAAATTAGCTTAAATCCATAATTTTGAAACCCCACACAAGCGACGTTTTCCCTTAGCTGCCGGGAGGGTGGGTGGGTGGGTGGGGGGGTTCACCAGCCCATGGATGCGCTGATCCATGGATCTGCGCATCAGTGGAAGGATAATAAGGGGGCTGCAGTTTAAGCCTGACTTGCGTGCCCAGAACATCTCAAAAAAGACAACCCCACTTCAAAGACCTACAGGGGTTAAGCGGGCTCCAAGTCTGGCTGCCAACCCATATGCAAGACCTAGGTGGTTGTATGTGGTTGTTGAATTGACTGAGCAGGAGCGAAAAGCAAACCAAAAGCAAAGGAAATGCGGGCAAGCCCAAGGCAAGCCAAGGAAACCCAAGGAAGCTCAACAAAACCCAAGGAAACCCAGCAAGCCCAGTCGTTTTGGAGCCGACCAACCCAAAAGCGGGTTCCAAATCCGGACGGGCCCATCTGCAGAGGAGAGGCCGTGGCTCTGGCTGTGGCCATCCCAATGCTGGACGTGCTGGATGCCATGTTGGATGAGCCAGCTGGCCGGGCGCGCCCGGAGTCGACCTCCAGATGGGTTGGACCCCAAAATGAGTGCATCTTCAAATAGAAGGCCCCCCTTTCAAATTTTGGCAGGTATGTAAAGGGAAGCCCAAATCCAAAAGAAAGTGAGAATCAACATGGTCGGCTGCTTGCGAAGCAAGACCACATGGTTGGTCTCCTCCTGCCAGTCTTTGCTTGGAGCCAACTCTAAGGGCGGTCAGTTGTCGGGCCCCGAATTTGACCCGACGCGCCGTCCCTCCGCCCCTGCGGCTGCGGCCCTGCGGCTGCATTGGTGGCTCAGGCCAGGCCTTGTGGCCCGAAGAGCTGAAGTTCTTCCCGATGCCGAGCCCCATAGCGCCGAGCCCGCCGGACCAGGCGAGGCGTTTGTCGCCGTTTGCGGCGGGCGGGGAGCGGTTGGGTCCCAAGGATGGGGAGGATTCACAGGCCTGACCCCTCAAAGCCGAGCTTTCGCATTGGGCTTTGACAACAGTTGTCTGGGTGGCCAGGAGGGAAGGGCCAGGCAAAACCGGACGTGGCTGGGAGGGACTTCTGAGTGCGGACGGTTTTGGGAGAGACATTTCTCCGCAAAGTTGATATGGCCCGAGATTCAGGGCCAACTTGGCAAATAGGGACTTGGAACAAAGGGAAAACTGCAACTTTTGACTTGGGGAACTCCGGTGACCCCTTGAAAAAGAGGGAGTCGATCCAGCAGAAGGGAACTTGGCGTCGTCGCTGGAGAGTGTGAGGTGCTGCAGGGCGTGGCGCTGGTGTGGCTGCCCTCCGGTAGCTGGGCCAGTGCGCTGGTGCTCTCGGAGCATGGGCACCTGCTGACCTGCGTGCACCTGCTGACGGGCAGCAGCTGGATGGAAGCGGCCCAGGATCCGGCAGATACGGGGAGACTTTCTTGGGTTGCTGGTTGGTTGGTTGGTTGGTGGGTTGGTTGGTTGCTTGGTTGCTTGCTTGCTTGCTTGCTTGCTTGCTTGCTTGCTTGCTTGCTTGCTTGCTTGCTTGCTTGCTTGCTTGCTTGCTTGCTTGCTTGCTTGCTTGCTTGCTTGCTTGCTTGCTTTGTTTGCTGGCTCTCGGTGGGTACACTTATGCTCACCCTAAAGCACTTCCCCCCTGAAAGGCACAATTCCCCCATTTTAGTTTGGCGATCTTCTATGCCCACGTGGGACTTTTTGCCATTTGCGGCAACTCACCCTGGTGCAGCAAAGGGAACAAAGGGAAAACAAGAGAAAGCAACAGGAAACCAAAGGAATCTAAAGGAAACCAAGGAGAACCAAAGGAAACAAGAGGAAACTAAAGGAAACCAAAGGAACCCCAAGGAAACCAACAGCAGCCTCGAAATGGTGTTGCCAGGATGGCAAGGAGCCGCGGACTAGCTCCTCGCCCGCCTTCTGCCACGGGCGGTGCTATGCCCAGACCCCCGAGGACGGCACAGGGCAAAAGGGGCATTGGGTGTAGCTCAAGCAAGGGGGGGCCGTGAGAAGCGGGCATGTCTCCTTCCCCTTCTTTTGTTGGGGAGAGGGTTTGCAGATTTGCTCAGTGAAAGGATAAAGGGCAACTTTGAGACGTGAATGGACGGGCAGAGCAGTTAGAAACAACGATAGATATTGCAAAGCTCTCACAATTCCCTACGTCAATTTGACGCAGGTGTCGCAGTGGAATGGTTTGGGCCGCGCGGACGCTCACAAACTCTCTTCTTGCTGCCCGTGAAGGTTTTTGACTCACTGCCAGGGCTTTCCTTTCGCACAGTTTCCACAACGGTGCCATTACAGCAATCACGTCCAAGCACAGTAGCCCAAGCGAATCCTTGTAAATGTCAAGGTTTTCCTCAACTCCCACGTGCAACATTTATCCACCGCCTCAATGCTTCCAAAGTTTTCATGTCGTGGCTGGGGTCCCAGAAAAAGACGTTCCACCTCTATGTTTCCTACACTTGGGTCTTTCGTTGCATCTGTGGGTTTTGTGGCAGCCGCCTGTCACACACACACACAAATACCCCATTGCAAATCCATCGGACTTCGGAGGGTACTTCTTTTGCCACTCTTTGACTCAAAGGGAAACCAAAGGATTCAACACCGGTTCTAGGGTCCATTTTTTGGGGAAACCGCTTTGTTTGGTCGTGGGGAGATGTCGTTGAAAGGTCAAGACAGGTTGAGACCTTGAGAAAGACTGTCAGAACCATACTAAGACTGCCGCCAGAGGTTTGGGAAACCACTGTGGCATCACGGGTTTTTTCTTCTTTTTTTCTCTGCAACCTTTGGGACAACCAGTCTGGGCAAAGGCAGAGGGCATGATGCCCTCCCCACAAACCCCGCACCGCCCGTTTTGCCCCAAGGGCGAGACGGTAATGGCGAGCTTCGAAGCCGACGTGCTGCACGCCTTCGAGGGCTTCCTGGATGTGGCGCTGCTGAGGGCCCGGCCCAGCAGGCCTCGCGGGTTCTGGAACCAGTGGCCCCGTTGTCCCTGCGTGGGCTTGAAAGGTTTGCCCAACACGGGAAACACGGGAAACACCGGAAAAAACGCCAAACAGGGCACCGGGGAGCACAGCTCCGACCTCTTGGGCTCGCCCGCTTGCCCTGTCGCGCGTTTCAGGGGCTACAAGTTCAACCCGGGCCTGTGGCAACGGCAGGCCGAGCCGGTGGAAGGCACCGAGGCCGGGGCCGGGGCGATGGCACTCGTTTCCGGGGTCGGGTTAAAGGGACACAGGGGAAACCATAGGAAAAGCCAGCGGCAAGCGCCAAAGGCCCGATTCATAGAAGCTTGGAGCTTGGAATGACAAAATTCTTGGATGGGTGTGAAAGGAAGCGGCTGGTCTTGGCAGGAAGAAAAGCATCGTAGCATATGATAATTGCATGTCGATTCACATGATACCAAATTCAGTCAAGAATCCAGACGATCCGGCTCAGGTAGTAGACGAAGAATAGAGATAGAGATGCCATCACACCATCAGCATAATTCCATTAGGAATTACATGGTGGGGAAGGACGATGGATCAATCTCGCGGAGAGAAGGAGATAGAAGAGCGAAATGAAGTGCATGGCCGTTTCTTTCCATCTCTTCGCCCAAGAGATCAGGAAAGAGGTGAGAAGGGAGAAATAAGAATAAATGGACGGACTCGACGATGGACGCAATCCCTAATCCAGCGCTCCTCGTGCACCATGTAGTTTCTATATGGGTGTCTCCTTTTAGACCCTCAAAATTTTGTGGTTTGCCTCTAGCACCCAAACCAAGAGAGTGTCCCCCCAAGAAAAAGAATCACGGCGGGGGGGTTAGGTCGGTCGCGGCTGAGGTGTGGGCGGTGGGCCATGGGCTCTTCGGACCCGGGAGCCCCTGGCAAGGCCCCTCTGTGACCTGCGGCGCCCCAGCCGGTTGTGGACATGGCGAGATCCGGCGAGGGGTGGACGTCCATTTTTAGGAATCGGACCCCCCAAAATGGATGGGTGTCCTTTTGGTTCCGAAAGAAGACACCCCTGTGTTGGTGAAGGGTTTTGGCATCGAGGGGCTAATTTCAGCCTTGGTTTGGAGCTGATGATTTGGTCTTGGGAAGTGTGTCAACTTGCGGGTCCAACTTGCATCACATGACCGTACTAACGTGCAGCATGTTTGGAGCCCGCTGGTGAACCTACGCGCGTACCCGTATCCTGGGGTTCCTTCGGTTGCTCACGCCCCGGCAAGTGACCCGGGCAGTTGCGGATGGGAAGTCGGTGCTGCATTTGAGGCCTTGCCTCTGAGCCTCGGTCCTAAGACACTCTCCCTCATATAGGTTTGTTTCCCCCCTACGCTTCCAAACTTTTCATTAGCGCATTGCTCCTTGGACAAGTATGCCCAGCCTGTTTTTCCTGGAGTCTCACTTTTCGGGCAGGGCTAGTGGAACGCTTAGGAGCGGGGTGACCGGCCCAACTCCGAGCCCCAGAACACCACGCAGCCACCCAGGCCCGCCTTCCCAAGCGTATCTGCCCGAGGCACGCTCTGCAGGGTCGCCAGAGGGGTCAAGGGGGACGCGCGCGCGCGGCCCGCGGTGTTGCAGAGCTCCGCAGCGGTGCACCGGGGCTGCTCTGGGGGCGCGCTGGTGGCAGCGGGCCAGCCGCTTTGCTCAGATGATCGCCTGGTCGCCCCGGCGAGGGAAGATCGGGTTGGCACGTTTTCTTGAAATGGGGGACAGCCCAGCCATTTCAGGGTTCCAAGTAGTTCTTGGAGACGTTTTGGGGCTGCGTTTCAAACCTCTGGGAGGAGGCGAACATGTGTACCCGCATGGAAGCGGGAGTTGGGGAGGTGACCCCTAGGCCCTTTAGTGGAACCCTCGTATTTTCGATCGCTACAAAGGGCTAGCAACGGCTTGTCAACTTTGCTGGAGGTTTGACCGGGGGCTGGGTGGAGAGCAAGTTGGCCAAAGGACGTCGACAGGCTCAAAAAGACGGGCCCCAGCCAACAGCAAGCATTGCTCGCGTCACGCGGGCATATGGACACCCCATTATATCACATGAAGCCGTGCCCCCAAGATCAACCTCATCAGAGTGCTGAAACACGCTGCAACAACCTGCTGTGTTGGAAAGCAGTCGCCCGTGTCGACATGGCAATTCTTCACAAAGACATCTCCCATTGGGTGGGGACCTACGTGGAGCCGGACTGCCTGGCCCGCCTTGCGGCGGCCTGCCGCGGTTTGGTGACGCCCCACCTGTGGCAGTGCCGCGCCGACCAGCTGTGGCCCGGCCTCGAGCTCGAGCTCTGCAACGGCGCCGACGGCCCGGGCTTCCGGGCCTTCGACCGGGCCTTCCGCGCGCTCCACGCGGGCTGCCGGGGCCGTGCGTCGCAGGTGGACGCGGCCAGGGCGCGCCAGGTGCTGGAGCGCGCGCTGGAGGCGCCCAGAGAGGCGCCACGGAACAAGGTGCTGTTGACTTTGTACCACGGTGCCACCGTTCTGGCCAGAGGATGCAGCAGCATCACTTTGTATGAGCAAGAGCCGAGTGGCCGGGCTGCCGAGAGAGCCCAATTTGAGCTGAACGTGGGCCACTTGCGACAGCTCTTGGACAGCTGGCTGGACCGTCACATCTGCATTCAGCGAAGTCTCAGCCGACAGCTTCTGGTGAGCTTCTTGACGCATCGATTTGTTTTGCCTTTCAATGTTTAGAGGGCAGGATCTGTTGAGTGTGTTCTGCCTGCCTGTAGTTGTCTACCAAGTCTATGACATTAATCGAAAGGGTTTCAGTGCTTGAAGGCGTTTGCACTTGAAGCAGTGATTGATTCCACTTTGAGACATGGCAAAGTTGGGTCCCCTTCAGGGACGCTCTTAAGATGGGAACAACATGACACCAACCACTTGAGCCACGCACGCACGCACACGCACGCACACGCACGGACATCGCACGCACACGCACACGCACGCACACGCACGCACACGCACGCACACGCACGCACCGAGCCACATTTTTCCCCCATGAAGGCTGCGAGATGAGCAACCCGGACTTGCTGCGGGCGCTTGAGCTGACCGTGGTGCTTCAGGTCTGGACTTGGGGCGACGGACTCCGAGTAGTGAGCCCCCACCTGCCGCTACGCCAGGCGCGTCATGGCATAGAAAGCCTGCCGACAAGCTGGTTGGAGCATCTTGTTCTATGGTTGCTCTAGTGATGTAGCCAGAAAAGCACTGCAACCAAGCGGAACGAATGGGAAGTAATGGGATGGACAACAGGTGGTAATCTTGAATGGACGCAAGTGCATCACATCGGGCAGTTGCAGAATGTGTCCTGGACAGGTGAGGAGCTTTGTTGCTTGGCGCATGTTGTTTGCCAGGTGAGCCAGGACCGGCGGGGTTTCCACCTCCACTTTGTGCACGTGCCCTTGGATGGCGGCGACTTGTCCAATTGCATCGAACTGCTTGTGCAGCTGGACAGCGACGGCAAGGAGGGGGAGAGTCTAGATGAGACTTGTGCAATTGCCACATTGCTCGGGCGGACGACGACCTCCCGGTCACATCACCAGCTCCTCTTTGATGGATATCTCGGTGCCCTGTGTTCGCTCATATGAGCATGGCTCGCCGAATTGGCAAGGGGTATGGCTTCCACAGCAGAACGCCCGCTGCACAAGCATTGGAGTGCAAATAGATCGACTGGCCCCGGAATCCCGGACTCTACCGGTACCGGCAGGCGCTGCTTGCCTGGACAGCAAAGCCAAGAGTCAATCAGTGCCGACGGATTCGTGGCATTGGCAGGCTCGACTCGGCGATCTCGAGACGTTAGAGAAGCCTGCGGCCTAAGAGGCACCAGACGGAATCACACGCGAACAATCAGCCTTGCGCATAGAATGAGACGGAAAGAGCCGCGGGCAGGGTGCAGCCGTGCAGCCTTGACAGAAACACGTGGCAACTGAGGTTTCATCGGGGTAGTTGTCAACCCTTGGTAGGGATCCTGGACGCCCCGGGCCTGTGGAGTGAAGGGCAACCATCATTGGGCATGGAATGTCAAGTTGATGCCAGAGAGCAATACCCTCGCAATGCTCCCGACTCCTGTTGGCCACTTGAAGCAGTCGGTTCTACTACTTGCTTGGGGTTAATGCAAATATATATTTTCCCGGTCGGTGTTGTGCAAGTGGATTTGGGCTCTGCCCTGCCTTGAAGCTGTATGCTCAGGTTGCTGGGGATGGTGACCACCAACGTGAAGCAACAGGCGCGAGAGTATGCGAACCACGTCACGTCAGCTGTGACTTCCCCCCCCCCGTATATTTTTCTTAACATGGTCCAAACAGGGGGTACTTCGTTTTGACCCAGCCACGCATGCTCGCGCACATGCACGTGTTCGAATCGCAAGTGTCCTTCTTGGTCAGTTTGTTACATAGGCTTTCAGTTTCAGAATCGCAGACCGGTGCAATCCAAGTGATGACACCTTTGGATCGAATGCGTCGGCGTCAGATGTTAGGACGGGGCGGTCATGCCGCACGTGAACTTCATCCTGCCCGTGGGCTTGCTGGCGCCCTCCTTGCGCACATACCTGGCGGGTCCAGCTGATGCCCAGGCATTGGCCATACTAGTGGAGGAGGGGGGGAGCCGGGGATGGGGTTGGAGTTTCTTTGTTCATTTTATCTCTTACTTTCTGTCTTTCTTTCTTTCTTTCTGCTTCGTTTTTTGTTTGTTTGCTTGTTTGTTTGTTTGTTTGTTTGTTTGTTTGTTTGATTGATTGTTTGTTTGTTTGTTTGCTTGTTTGCATCCCGGGCAATCCAATGGCCCTGAGCACCCTTCGACTTTAAGCCCTTCAAGAACAAACTTTGACAGGCTGTGACTGAGCTGTTTGGTCGCTTGACATGGGCAAGGCGGTCTGCACGTTTTCAGCTGGGTTGAAACTTACGAGCCGGGATTTCTCGTCAGGCTCGTGTCGCTGCACTTTGGGCTTCGGTGTGTTGGTTTCGGTGCCCTGAAAGCGCCTTTGAGGAGCTGCAGGGCTCCGCTGCCGATGAGGAGTCTGAAGGGACAAACTGCAGTTGCTTGGTGATGGGAAGGGCCAGGGGTAGTGGTGCGCTGAGAAGCATCTATTCCGCACCAGGACTGGAAACAGTGATACCATTGCGAAAGCAACTTAGCGAACGAGTGAGATGAACAACATTATTTTGATCAAATTCTCTTTCCCCTCACGTCTGAGAGCGAATCAAGCTCCAGCCCGTGTCGAGGAAGACGCGTTCAAGGCTGTTGCGGAATCTATGAGTTGCGGGACACTTCTGTACCAAAGGACTTTTCTTCAAAGCGAAAAGGTAGTCGTGGGGATTGCCCATGTAAAACAGAAATGGTTCGATTTGCTACATTAGGGCGTGCATGCGAGGAGGAGCAGGCCCTTTGGAGGCTTGAGCCGGAGCACTTGGATCTGCCAAGCAGCTCCCAGCCAGCATTTGCTTGTACCTGGGGTTGCGATGTTGTCGCCACCCTCACCTTGTTTGAATCCTTAATCTTCATGTCGGAAGTAAGTTGTAGCGTTGTCCCCGTTAGGGATCCCATTTCGAAGATGGGATTGGGATTGGGATTGGGGGTTGGCACTTTATGACGTCGTTGATGTTGTGTTTTGGCTGCGCTGAACCGTCAAAGAGAGCTCGGTTCCCGACATGGGTTGCCCAAATCATATGTTATCGGATTCTTTCGTATTTATGGCTTCCCGTGAAGCACCTCCTTCCCAAAACCGGCGCCCAATCCTTTTGGACATCCCAGCAGTTTCTTCCCCGGCACTGCCCTCAGGAATGGCTGCTCGGTTTCTTGGCAGCCTCAGAAGGGGGGAGGGGTGTGGGGTTGCAATCAAGGGCAGGAGGCGCAAAACCAGGGGTGTGAGTGTCTTTTTTGATATTCGTCGAAGATACCCTTTTTGGTGTACAACAGGGGACACCACCAAGTGCTTTGTTTGGGCGGGGGTGTCGCACAAGTTACGGGACACCATGATCAATGATCCAAGGCAGCTGGTTTTCACCCTGAGTGCAAATCCTGCACATGAACGAAGGTTGAGCCCCCTTTTTACCTTCTCCCTGTATCTCATTTGAGATTCTAGATAAAGATGTCGTTCGCGATTTTCGAGGAGAAGCTGCAGATGTTTCAGGGCAGGGCAAAAAGGAAGCAAGGTTGTTCTTTCATACGCCCTTTGGTGCCCAAAAAAAACCACATTTTGTGGCCGAAAAAAAACAACAACTTTGAGCACTGTCCGCACGGTGATTGTGAGGATTTCCCTTCTGGACCCAGTTGCTCTCAGGAAACGGCACGCTTTGGAGCGCTTTGAGCAGTTGCAGGAAGAGGCTGAGCAACAGGCGCGGGACCAGAGTGCACTCATTCGGAACTTCCCATCTTCCAACTCAGCGGCACATTCTTTCAAGCATGCGGGTGTCATTGTTTGCTTGCTTGCTTGCCTGCTTGCTTGCTTGGTTGCTTGGTGTCTTGGCTGCTTGCTTTCTTGTTTGCCACCTTGCTAGTTTGTGTGTTTTTGTGTTTGCTTGTTTCTTTGTTGGCCCCCCGCCGATGCACGGGCAGCGGTTGGCAGCCTTTGCTGGGCACCGCGCCTCGGAGGTCAAGGCGCTTGAGCCGAAGTCCAAGCTGTGATGCCCAAAAAGATGTGCGAGTGGCGGATGCATCTGGACCAGGGAGCCCTTTGGCGCCCTTTTCGGCCCTTTCGGGTCATAACCATGTGTGAAAGGCCATTGGTGTTTGTTAGGACAAAGCAAGGTGATGCGCGGGATTGGCTTGTTTAAGGACCACCGTCAACTTGAGTTTGGAGTGGACGGCCACTTTTCTGTCCCTTGTCTGAGTGTGTGTAAGAGAGAACTGGGCCAGCAGCCAAGACGCTGGTTTCTTCTCAGTTTTTTTTGCAAGGGTGGCTCCGAAGTTCCGCAGAGTCGCAGGTGGCGTCAAATCTGTTTGGGGGCAGGCTTGACCGACCTCGCGTTCCATGACTTCATGCTAGGTTCGGGTAGTCGGTAGTGATGTCTTTGGTCAGCAGGTGGATGGGCCATGGATTGCAATTTGCAAACACTGGTGCCCGAAAAAAGGAGAGACCCGAATGAACACCCGAAGGACCTCTCACAGGAGTTTCCACACCCCTCAAAAAGGGATGTTAATTTGCAGAAAGTGTCATTTTTATAAGGATTATTATTTTCCGTGTTGATGAAATTGCTTTCTGGGTGTGGCGTTGTTTGGAGTTGGCACCCTTTGCTTTCAAGGCAAAGAAAAGGAAATCCGCCTTTCTGGTTGCTCCAACCCCGGTTGAGATAAACCCATATAGATCGGGTGGCCATTCTGCGCTTCCAGGTGCTTCCTGAAGGGGTGGTTCTATACATCTGTGTCAAAACCCGGCACCACTCAAACTGGTTGGTTCGTGCGGAAGTTAGAACCACATCTTTGATGCGCAAAACAACTTCGGCCTTCCCGGAATGACATTGAGGCGGCAGAGAATGGGGCCCCATAGACTGTTAGAACTTGGAGCGAGGCGTACTTCTGCAGATTTGGGGAGCTCTCAGACTGCTATGCCGGGACCTGAGTGCCGCTGACAGTCTGAGTCCGCCTGCACGACGGATGCTGACTCGAGGTGCCCCCTGGCAACAAGGGGATAGCCTTTGTGAGCTACAAGGATCCTAGCAACGCCGGCGCCTCACGCTCTCAGCTGTCTGACGGGGAACACGGGAACGTTCTTTTATTTTGAAGGTTACGAGTGCCGAGCAATGTGCCGAAGACCCCAACTTTTGAGCTTGAACTCTCTCTGATTTTTGAAACTTCTTGCCGGCCGGCCCGGACCAAAGTGATGGTGAAGGCTTGAGCAAGATCAAGCCTCCAAGAAGACAACTGATAGACGCACCGACAGCTCTGAAGCTGAGGAACCTTGACACGCCTTCAGCCACCGGCGTCAGTCCAGGGTCGGGCGATTCGACCGAGGCCACCTCTGTGGTTGCCAGTGGGCAGCATGAGGTGAAGCAGCAGCCTCAAATCCGTGATTCTCCACGAAAGTTGGTGACTTTCTTGTGGTTTCGGTCGAGAGGGGGCCTTTTGGATTGACTTCCTGAGCAGGGAGAGGGCGTTGATTTTCCAGTGACGGCAAGTCGACGGCAAGTCGACCTGGCAGTCTTTGAGGCCTGGCCACGTAGTGATCGCCGCCCCGGCGTTTGACAGGCCTGCGTCGCCAGCTCAGTGGCTCCAGAGGGGTTTAGGCGAAGCTCGTGTTGTGAAGCGAAGAAATGCTCATGCTGGTCTCTTTGCTGTTTCTTATCCTGGCAACTTTCAGTCTTAGCCAAACAGAAACAACACCAACATTTTCAAATTTGACACGACTGAGCAGAAGCCATACTGCTGAATTGTCACAATGCGGTTGCAACAAGCCTATCCGTTGCACTCTTTCAACGGTCGTTGCCCCTGCCTTCCACTTCAGGGGTGGCTTATGGCTGTTCCGATGATCGCGTCTGGCGGGATTCTTGTGGGACGGATTTGCCACTTTCTGCCGGCCCAAAGGGGGGATGGGCGTCCTTTGTTCCCAACGAATCCGGCGGTTTTGCTGGTGCACCAAGGCCTGGTGGGGGCAAAGGAGCGGCGAGCTGCGCATCTGGAACTGTCGTGAGCAAACAGGTGTTCGTGGGGATTCCTCAAGCAGGTTTCTTGGAATTATAGAGTCCACAGATGGATTGTTTTGGACCAGTCAATCATATGAATCCGCTTTTTCTGGCGCCTCTTCTGGTTCCCCTTAGTTGCGGAAACCACCTTGCCAGCTGCGGAAGTTTGGGTCAGTCCTGCGTATCTGGCAAATGCGTGTTTTGAACGCAGGCGTGCCCGTGAATGCAAAGCACACTGCAAGGTTGGGCCAAAGAGATGAACCTAATCAACCGGGTCTGCCTGACGCATGGGTTGGAACAAGAGAATCGGCAAAGGCAGTGGAAGCCCAGCATCTTGAGACAGCCCTGTTCTCCCAGCTGATGCTCCATCATATCCAGTCCATGGGTCCATGGTCCATGGGTTCAGAACGTGGGGGTTCGCTATGTGCCACAAACCCAGGGGACAATCCGAATATCCCAATCCCATGTCCTCCATGCGAGGAAGCAAGGGCGGCAGCGCACCTGCAGGCAGACCAAGCCTGTCGCCTTCGCTTGGCATGGATTTGGCTGGCGAAGTGCACCAATTGCTTTTGACCGGCATGATGTTATTTCAACTTGGCCGAGCTAGTTTTAGCTTGGCCCCCTTTCATTTATCATGGTTCTTCCAAACGGCACCGAGGCTTGTACCCGTCGGCAAAGAAGCGGGCACAGACCTGAATTGATTGGGTTTTCGAAAGGTTATGGTTGTAACATTGCAGCTGGACGGGTTCTATGTTTCTTTTGAAAGAGCCCAGGGACATTTGTCAGGCGGCTGTGCGGGCTTGGCCGGCATCGCGGGAGGCGGGGCCTGTGGCCTTTGCCGGCAAAGTGGTCACTCAAAGGGGGAGTTTTTTTTTTTTTTTTAGATGTCCAGTCGTTTTGCTTTTGATTTTGCCTTTAGGTTTGTTTGCTTTGATGTTCTTTTTGGCATGCCTTTTTCTTACCCCTTCAAGCACCGTCTAAAAGCGTGTTGGCGCAATCCTTTGATACCCTCACATGGTTGCCCTAAGGCACCAAGGGCTCAACTGCATACCCTAGGGGTAGGCATATCCAGTGCATCCTGTATAGTATACCTGTTCATCTATAACATGTATCTATAATACCTATATATCCATATATCTACATCTATGTACCCATATATCTATACATTTGTATGTACACTTTTTGGTTTATGTATATGTCTTATGCATCTATGCGTCCAATCTATATAGGTACAAATCTGACATATCAATATATCTATATCTATATATTTATGTATTTGTCCATGTATCTATTTATCTACCCAATTATATAATCTCTCTATATCTCTATCTTTTAATGTATACTTGTACATCTATACATTTGTATGACTATACAACTATATGTCTATCCATCTATATCTCTATCTCTATACATACATATATGTCAATCTTGCTCTGTATCTGTATATGTACAGTATGTTTGTATATCTATCTAATCTATCGAATCTAATCTAATCTAATCTAATTTAATCTACTGTATCTGTCTGTCTGTCTGCCTGCCTGCCTGTCCGTCTGTCTGTCTGTCTGCCTGCCTACCTGTCCGTCTGTCTGTCTATCTGTCTGCCTGCCTGTCTGTCTGTCTGTCTGTCTCTCTGCCTGTCTATGTATCTTTCTATCTATCTATCTACCTGTAAATATATCCGTATGTATATATACACCCATCCATATCACTGCATTCATGTATCCATTTGTCTATACATCTATGTCTATAATGCCGTTTCGGACCAACCTCCAAAACGACGGGGGGCAGCGGACAGGCGAGGCCTGCAGCGGCCTGGGCTTCGCAGTGCCAGGCACGGCAGTTCCTGAACTTTGTATTCTTGCTTCCCGGCTCATTCTTTTCAGGCAGTCAGTTCGTCGCGCTTGCTGTGCGGAATGCTGCACGAAATGCGACGCGGAATGTTCCGCGGAATGCTCCGGCAACTGCGTATTTGTGCGGTACTTTATGCACATATTGTTTTTTATCCTTCTGTCTTT